AAGGACTTAAAGATTTGCTGCTGCTCTCATTCTCCTTCAAACACGAACGCCCCCCTGATCATTTCCCACAATGCTCCTTGCACGGAGGCCTCTGTGATCAGTGGTTATGAGAAAGCGCAGGAATCTCACAGACAACTGCCTCAACCAGAGAGAGAGAAAAAAAAGAGGTAAGCCTCCTCTTTTTCCGTTTCTACCACCTACCCCCCCGCCCTCATTCCCTCAGCCTGGTCGCTCTGCATTTGCGGGAAGCATCTGGGTTCATTTATCCCAACCCAGGCAGGCTGGAGGACCCCTGTGCCCTCTCTGGTTGCAGGGTCCGAGCATGCTTCAGTGTGGGTCCTTGTTGTTGTGGGAGAGAGGAGCTCAAGCCTGCCCACTAGCCTGTCTGGACCGTCTCAAAGTTCCCATCCTCCCTCCCTCCTGCTTCACCAGGCCCACCGCCTATCCCAGATGCCCTTAAGCATGGTTAGTGTAGCGTTTCATCAGAACTGAAAGATACTAAACAGATTCATCCAGAAGCTACAGTGAAGACAGGCGGCCTGGAGGTTTAGGAGAGTTTCATGGCAGATGGAAAAGAGGGGGAGAGTGTGCAGAGGAAGCAAAGCTGGTGCTTCAAATAAGTGTGTGTAGGTGGGGCTGATATTAACTGTCTCACATGTTTATGGATGCCCACGTCTACATTTGCATAATGTGACAAGCGGATGTACACTGCTTCCGAAAATGCGCGTGTGCAGGAAATGCACTCCCATGTCTCAAGACCACAGGTGAAATGAATGAGACGTCCATTCAGCCCCACTGTTTGGTATAATCCACAGTCAGCTCCATGCCAAACGTCAGTCCAAGTTATCAAACTGCACAGCTGAATGGAAGCAGAGTGAGTCTGGCTAGTTACTTAAAGTCACTGAGAAGTTATTCAAACACCCAGTTATTATGGTGTAAACAAAGGCAGCTTGTCACACACTATTACAGATATGGTGTTTACAAGAATGCCACTTTAATGCAGTGCATATTATGTATGATGATTAAGCATAGTGTTTGACAACCAACTGATTGGAGAAATGAAAGTAGATTATAAGAGGCATTGTTTTGTTGTTAGACTGGCAGCAGAGACTATGCATAGAGACAGAAGGCTCCCCTATATGAATGATAAAGGAAGGACTGATGGCTTTTATGTATTAGCACAAATACTGCTTTTCTTATGCGAGAGTAAGTACACCAGAAAGCTGTAAGAAAGAAGTACAAAATAGACATAAGAAGCACTTCTTTGCCTTGTAAGTACAGCATATTAGATGGATTACAAGGCTGACTTCATAAGAATGGCTTCACCAGGCTGTTTTCGCCCATCCTTTCTCTTCTCGCCACCTTCTTGTCTTTTATTCAAAACAGATTTGTCTAAGTCGTCCCACACTATCTGGGTAGTCTGTCTACTCTGTGGTTTTTCGGTGACTCCCCTAAGTTATATAAAATTCCTGCTTTGGCAAGTGTGAAGTTTGCAATGGTTTGTCGTTGCACAATGGGTGTTTTCATCTCTGAGTTTTTCAAACACTGAGCTCAACTGGAACGACTTTGGCATCAATCTTGGTTCTCACATGAAACATAGTTAATTAGAGGGGAAATAAAGTGGCTATAATCAAGTGGTTGCAGGTTTGTAGCCACTGTGTCCATCAGCAGCCATGTGTCCTGCTGATGTGTCCTTCAGCAAGACATTTAACTTCTTGCACATGACAGGTCTAAATAAGAAGACCAGCTGAAAATGTGCAAAACAAAAAAGTGATAGAAGAATTAGGATGTAGGTTATGTCAGGGTCACCCCATTGGGCACATAAAATTTGATTTTGCCAATCTAAAAAACATTCATCTCCACTTTTAAATACTTTTACTTTTAGAGAATATTTCTGCTCTTTGTGCACACATAGTTAAATAAATTAAAGTCAATAACAAGGGTTCATAATTCTGTTTGTCCAGCACATTATATGGCAAATTTTCAACATATTTTCCCTGTTTGTACAAAAATCTGAATCATAGCATTTATACTGTATTAACAAATGTTCATGTTCTGCCTATTTATCTTATTGTCAACAGCTCCCGACTGGGAATTGGCTCAAACAGGAGATACTGGGGCCGTGGGAGGGAGCACTTGTGACAGTAGAATCTTTACTTCACTAACGCTTTTAAAAGTCTGGTGATGCATTTAAACATTTTATATTTGCCTATCTTGGGGTGAGAGACGGTGGGTTGGGCGGAGGAGGGAAGGTGGACGTTTTTATATATTCCAAGCTGAATGAACTGTAATGTTGATTTATTTACTTTATAGTTTTTGTTTATTGTCTGTATAACTTTGAATATGAACGGATTACATGTGATGCCTAAAAAAACAACACATTTTAAGATGATCCAGTGCAATAACATAATACAGTGCAACTTTCCACTGACCCATGATGCTCTCCATCAACCCTAGGAAAACCTGTTTTGACAGTAAGTGACAGATCATTATATTCCTTAGTTATTTCTACATGTGAGGTCTTTTTGGCTTTGTTTGTTCATAGCATACAATTCTAAAAAAAAAAAAAAAAAAAAAAAAAAAAACGGGAATAGTGAGAGTGACGATGTTCCCGAGCAGTCGAACACAGGACAAAGCCATTGCCACAAGCGGCCTCCTTTTTCAGGTCAAAAATGTCTTACAAATTTGAATCTCATTACCATGTCATGAATACGTCTTTGGGAATCCATTAGGCATTTCCTGCCTAAAAATACAATAAGAATTCACATTCAAACTGAAAGAGAAAAGAAAGAGTGGGGAATGAGAATAAAGCCCCAGCGAGAACATTACTGTAAATCTGTTGTAGCTCTTTCAGTCCACTTAAGAAGCGGCAGAAAAAAAAAAAGAGAGAGATGTGAGTGACTGACAGATGATAGCAATAAAAGTAAGAACAAACTGGCCATTTTACTGCGGTAGGGCCATTTGAGAAGGGATTATTAACTTGTCAGCATTTCAAACTGAGACACAACTTTTTCTCCTCCAAAACACATCCCCATGTCTGTGTTACTTTTATTAGAAAGTCTTTAAACCTTTTGACCCCAGAGGCCTCCGTTATTGGCTGTTAATAGGGACACGCTGGTCAGTGTGGAGGCCCTAAGTGCCCTATTAATCATTTGTTTAGAGTTCGGGCCTATTTTGGAAGCTCTGTGTTTAGTGTGAGTTAAAAATAGGAGGAGGCAGATTGAGACAGCCGTCCGCCACTCATCGCTCAAGCTGTCAGGACACGTGGGCCCTTGGGGACGTGGGCAGGAGACCCCTCAAGCCATGGAAGTTGAAAGGTCACAAGGTTTATCATTATTACCCACTTACTCTGTGGCGGCTGACAGAATCATTGTTGGTTTGATTGCTAAAAATAGAGACTAAAGTGCTGTTCTAGACATGACAAGCAAAATCATTTCAGAGTGTAAGTTTTAAAGAATTTTCCATGTAAACAGTCAAGAGTTTCATGTCAGAGTTGCAAGACACTGTAGTTTATACACCTCAAGTAAATTTTGCGGTTCATGAATAACACAAGAGCAAAGCAAATGCTGCTACATGCTTCCTACACTAAATGCCACAAGTAAGAGTTGTTTGCTGGCAGATTGACAGTGATGGGAAATAAAATGTCATAGGATCAAATCATTAATCTTGTCAAATATTGTCATATGACAGGAGAAAATACAGGTGTGGAGATTGCATCTGCTGATAAAACATTACTTACAGCCATTTTTCCAATAAGCGATGGACTCAGTGCTGTCAATATTTGGAGGGGATGCGAGGTATGCCCTGGCGAAGGCCATTTTGCGAGGAGCAGAGAGCCTGCTGGGAAAAATACAGTGGTTCATGCTGGGTCTCCGGGAAGCTGAAAAGCCACCAGCAAAAAGCTATGAATTATTCTGAGCGCAAAATACATTTTCTTTGAAGACTGTCGGGCCATTAGAGCCCTTTTGCTCCCTTTTAAATTGTTTTTATGCTGTGAGTAATGTTAACCTTTGCTTTTGTAGTCATGAAATTCTCTCTGCACCTTTTTCCCTCCCGGCACAAAGCACAGATGGGCTGGAAAAGCTGGAAATAAAGTATAGGAACCATTTACTGTGAGGAAAGAAGAGGCGTGAGGAAGGAACTAAGACTTTTATACCGATGTCTACAGACCTGTGTTCCTAGTACAGTAGAGACTCTATGTGCATAAGAATAAACCCACACAAAAAATATGTTCCATGTACACTAAAGCTCAGAGTGAACATTGCAGCAAACACATATATGGCCTATTATTTTTATGATCCTTTTTGTTTTTGTTTTTTTCAGGTTTACAGGTTGTTGATGGTTGAAATGATGGTGGGGGATGAGTAGAGGCTGTCACCAAATCCATCAATACTGACACTCTCTTCTTCACAGATACAAATTTCTATACATATATACAGAATATGTAGCATAGGAAATATTATAGGAAACCATGAAAGGAAACTTGTGATGCTGATTTCCTGAAACGGCCCATTTGAATTGCTTTACTAGTTTCAATGTAAGCTTACTGTAGTCAAAGTATGCAATGGGCAGCTGGATCTAGACACAGTCTAAAAAAAAGAAAATATCATAAAAATTAACACTAGATGACACTTGGTAATGCTAAATGCTTTTAATAGTCACTAAAACAGAGGGTCTTGCTCAGGGGTCCTGCAACACCCTGGGCCCATAGGATAAGTTGTATGGCATTTTAATTTAGCAAAAGTTTAATATAACACACACATATACAGAGAGAGAGAGAGAGAGAGAGAGAGAGACAGACAGACAAACAGACAATCACATTAATGGATCATTGAATGGATCTGGCATGCACAAGCCACTGACCAGCTGACCTCTCGTGCCCCGTACCACGTGCACAGCTGATCCTCTTTCATCCTCCTTTCACTGCACCGGCGCGTGATCTCCATGGGAACGTCGTCACGCAGGAGGAAGTGAACGAGACTATTTGACGGTGAGCTTGCTTAGCATGGCAGCAAAGGTAAGCAGCTGATGAGTTTTCCACATCACTTTCTCTTCTCTCTGCAGAGCTGTCGCCTTGCCGGTGATGTGTGAGGTCCCGGTAGTGTCTCCTCCTGAGCTCTCCGCCCGGTAGGCGGTCTGCCCCGGAGGGCTCTCTCTCCGCCGGTTAGCCTATTAAGAGGATGTGCTAGAGGTTAACACTGGCCATACGGCAATGACATTGAGGCTTTACTGTAGCCGGTTAGCTAGTTCATGTACATTTAGCTAACAATGCCTAAATCAAAGTGACAGTGCCGTCGTTTCAAAAATGATGCAAAGTGCAGCAATGATACTGTTGCTCATTTTTATCCACTTTGCTCCTCCCAGGCCCCATTTCTTCCACTTTACCGGTTTGTATCTGCTAATAAGTCGGTTGTACTCACCGGTAACCTTGGTTAGCATCATGCTACATGTTGTGGCATCCTGTTAAACTACCTGCATGTGCCAGAAGTTTCAACAGGCTTTAGGTTTTAACATGGTTGTACTGTCATTGCTTGTTTGCAACCAATATGTTCACATACCTGTTTAATGTGCACTCTCAGGCACTCACACCAACTTTTAATATGAATAATTGAACAGTCCTTAACAGCTGCATTGTTTAATAGTTTTTTAAATATTACACATATCACAACATCAGCATCATCCTCTACAGTGTGGGCCACAGCATACACCTGAGGGGTTGCGAGCTGGTCAGTGAGAGCAGAGCAGAACTTATTTCTCCTTTACAAGATTAAGTTTGTGATAAAACACCCTTCCCCCTTTACTGACTGAAACTTGCTCACATCTTTCCAAAGGGATACAGACAAAAGCTTCATAAAAAGCTAGTGAAGTAAGTGAACCTTGAGTTTAGAATGTTCCCATGTTTGTGTTGCTTTTGAATTACTGAGTGATTTGACATCTGCTAATAGTATTAAGATAAGACCTAACTGGCCGCCACTCCAACCTGTAACAAGAGGTCAGAACCAGACAAAACTTTGTTTTGAGGGCCACGAGGCAAAAAGGTTGGCAGCCACTGTTCTACAGTGTTGCTCAAAGGATGCGACCGAGGCGCACCAGAAGAAGTGTGGTATTGATACATAGTGGGCCATTGTGGATGAAAGTTGTATTCACTAACTGTTCACTTATTGTTTTGCAGGCAATTCTGCCTAGGAGGGCCGACCCCACTGAGTTGAAAGCCATTTTTGAAAAGGTGGGATTTAACCCATATATTTTTGTTTTCTCTTTTGTGTTTGCCTCTTATCAAAGAAGCTTTTCACTCATCGGTCGATTTATGTTTGTTTCTCTTTTTTATTAAATTCTAAAGCTCAGCATCTGTCCTCCTGTCTGTATCTGCTTTTCGCTTTACAGTATGCCAGCGTTAAGAAGAATGATGAGCATTTCATGTCACCGGAGGATTTTGTGAGCCGTTTCCTCCATGCCCACACAGACATCCGGCTGTCGGACGAGGCCACAAAGCTGCTGGCTGGAGTGGTGGACCAGAAGAAAGATGGGTAGGTGTTCTAACATTTCACTTTTAATATAAGGTGATGTTTCACATAAATTAAGATGCTTGTACACTTTGAATTGTTTAGACAATCCTTGCAGTGTGGAGGTTATACTTATGGAAATACTGCTATTGTAAGTGGTGTGATTCACACTAGATGTAATAGATACACAACAAATGTAGCTGTAGGTTTTTTACAAAATGATAAAATTAGAGAATCAACCAAAGAGTATCTCATGAAGATTGATATTATCGCTGTTATCTTGTGCAGATTTATGCTGATCTGACTGTGAAATTGCTATGCTGAACCTCTCTTTATGCCGCAAATTCATCCACGCTCATTAATATTAAGCCAACTGTTAAGTAAGCTTATGACAGACTCTCATCAAAGCTATCAGTATATCCATTATGTATCCCTTTGATCATGTATAACTACCTTTCCAGTGTTATTTTGCATTGTATAAACAAATCTATGTTGTACTGAATCCTTTCGTGTAAAAAATGCACAGAGGGATGTTCGTACTTGAATTATATAGCGAGAGACATCAAACCACCAAAGGCCCCTTTCAGGTGTTTCCTTCTTTGTAGATACACCCCCAATTTCACACTTACTCCTCCCCCCATCCCCATCACCCCTGTTTTTTACATTAATATGTATGTATTTAATGATACATAATGATGGGTAATAAAATGTTAGGGTAAGTCAAAAAAGATTTAAAAAAAAAACCTACATCACCATGGTAACCACCTGGGCTTCTACAAAGAGCAAAGTGCACATGGCTGCGTAGTTTCATGTTATTACATCTGCTTTAAGGTGTGTGTGTGTGTGTTTGTGTAGTGTGTAGTGTGTGTGTGGTGTGTGTGGTGTGTGTGTGTGTGTGTAGTGTGTGTAGTGTGTGTGCCTGTGTCATGTACAGGGGACGGTGAGATGGAGTAGTGGGGGTTTTAGAATTGGAAAAAGAGAGAGCGTGCACGTGCACGCATGCACACACACACACACACACACACACACACACACACACACACACACACACACACACACAACACATCACACACACACACACACAAACACACACACACACACACACGTAAAAAACACACACATGCACTGTAATTGCCCATGCTATTCAGGAGCACTCCGTTGCATTGTGCAGCTTTGGAGCAGGATAAATGGTGGCCGTGGCATCAGGGTAAATCTATTAGGAATCCATGGCCCAGGCTTTGTATCTAAACCTCATTTTGGGTTTGTGGAGGGGAATGGAAATGATATGGGGGCAAAACAGAAAAAAAAGTTTTTTTTTTTTGTTTGTTTTTTTTTTTTTAAATCTCTGTTCTCCCAAATAATGTTTAGACCTTGGTTTACATGTGATTTTTTTTTTTTTTTTTTTTTTTACAGTTGATGTAAAGGCCTTATGCTGCTAATACTTTGTGGTGGGTTATTTTCCTCCTGAACTTTGATGGATAAATGATTTGACGAGACAAAGAGTGTAGATGATTATTCTGCAGACCAGCATCTCATGAACACAAAGCAAATAGATATAGAAAGTGGAGATGCAGCAACATCAGTCCCGTCTGTGCCAGCTGAAAATACAAATGCATTGTTTTTCAAGCGCTCAGCCGTGCAAACCTTATGAAAAGAAGGGGGAGCAAGACAAAACAAACCACTTTAGTGGCTGTATTTTTCATACAGTTTGCCCGATCTCATGCAAATATGTTTGTGAACAATAAGTTTTGGTTGGTATATGAGCGTAGTATTATTGAAGCTAGTGCGCCTGCTGCTGTTTTTGCCAGGTAGGACTCCATTTCAACAAGATGAGTCAGGGGTAATAGATTTAGCGGGGGGTCGGACGGCAGGCAACATGCTCGCTTACTTTTCTGTTGGGGTGTATCTGTGTGAGAGAAATTTTACTTAGATGCCAGGGTGTAAACAGTGAAAATGCATTTGTCTGCCTCCCTCTCCGCGACTGTGTAAATCAGGGGATATAGTGACAGTCGTAACAATCTGTTATGTGGAAATCACTTTTCTCCCTCTTCTTCTCGCTGCTCCCAGTGAGACAGAGAAACAGATAGATAGATAGATAAATAGATAGAGAGAGAGAGAGAGAAACAGAAATAGAGACGGGACTTTTGAGATGTCTCAATTTCCAAGGATCAAGCATTTTGTATATGTGTGAACTGACATACAGAACGACAAGATGGTTTAAAGATTTTCCTCTTTGACTCAACTTATTTATGTCATCTCTTTTCACTTTTGACTTTCTTTACATGCTTTCTCTCTCATCATCACTTTTCCTTACACTCTCACATACCATAATGCACTCTGAGCTACCTCCATTTCGTTTTGGCTCTTTCAGACTCCCTGCCTTTCTGCTTCTCTATTCCTTCTTCCCTCTGATATTTTGATAGAAGCATCTGTTCAAGTGTGAAGAAAAAACACTTTCCCCATAGACTCTTGTAGGTTTAAAAAAAAAAAAAAAAAAAACTTTGTTAAGGGAGCGTGCTGGGAAAATAGCAGTCTGCCAGCTGCTGTGGGCATTCTGGGCTTGGACTGGTGGGTGTCCACTCTTACAAACCAAAAAGATCCTGGCAGCTAGCACTCACCTGGGTTTGTGTGTGTGTATGTGTGTTTTTGAGGTGTGTCTGTGTGCGTATGTCTGTTGGCAAGCACGCTCTAGGTGGGTGGAAGGCTGTCAGTAACAGTGCCAAGATGCCAGGGACAGGGGATTATTGAAGCCCCTCCAGGCCCCTCTCTCCCACTACTATCAACGAAGGAGAGCTGTCTTTCTATCAGCCAGGCCTAACCAACACCATGCATTTATGTTACTTGTAAACAATGTTTCCAAGCCTGGCTTTCGGTTCAGAGGAGAGTATTTAGAACCCTGCTGAGACGAGATAGAGATAAAAGCAGGGTGGTGAAGATAATATAAAAACAAACAGAAATATATGGAATATAGGGTAGAGTTTTTATGCGGGACAGACACTTTAAATTGCATTGTATTGGCATCTTAACAGAAACATCTTTCAGCTGTCATCTATAGAATCACATGTTAAAAGTCTTTGTTTATGTCTTGTGTGTTACATCTCCCGTCTGATACATGTCACGGATATGCCTGTCCCTGTTTAAAGATTTAACAAAGTACTGCAGAGTAAAGTAAGTACACAGCACGCCGAGGAGATGCCATGCTACAGTATCACATTAGCCTTGTCTCCGAAGTTCATCCCAGGCTGCACAGTACATGGATCGGGCAGCCCTGGACACATGCCATAGCAGTTGATGGTTGGGAGATGCTGTCGGTTTATTTGATTATTGAGTGTCTCGTTGGGGTTGGGTCTGCATAGCAAAAACGATGGCTTCCCCGTCTCATGGTAATCATTTCGCAGCCGTCATGGCGCTGCTAATCAACCATCATAAGCTTCATCCCTGGCTACAGAGCTGTGTGTAAATGCTTATGAGTATGTGGAATGCTTCTCGTGTGTTATGGAGATGCCCCCTGGATCTTGTCTGGACTCCCCGGTCTAAACCATGGTCCAATCCCTCAGTGATCAACAGCCCTCTCAGTTACACTAATATGCTGATTATCCACGTCTGGGAAAACACAGACGAGATGACCAGTGTGTTTGTAAATTGATGCATTTGAAAAAAAAAAAAAAAAAGAAATCTTACTTTTCCCTTGGTTCTGTCTGGGAAAGTCTTTGCATTGCAGCCTGTACCTGCTTAAACTCCTTTATTAACCTCTCTGAGGTATAATTTCAGAGTGTACTACACATCTGTCACAAAGGAATGATCATTATTGGAGAGTTTGATAATATTCCAGCAGCGTGAGCGGAAATGGTATTGGCTTTGTTTTTAACAGTGGATCCACAGTCACAGCTGTGTGCTTTTGTGCCCCCTTCCACCTACTTGCCATCAGCAGGGCTCTGCTTTTAAGAACTACCTGCTTAGTTAATAAAACAATTAGTCTTGCCTTTGAAACAATGACAGCTGATTTCATTTGCCACGGTGGAGTACTGTATGCTCACTTTTATTCCCTCTCCTTATTTCTCTTAGCTCCTCTGTTGCTCTCTCTCTGACACACACATCTTTTCTTTTCCAGTCCACTGTTACCTTGTATGATACAAGTATGTGTATTTCTGAGTTTGTATTGAAAGCAGCTTTTGTGTTCACTGTTTTTTTTTTTCATGAATGTTTGAAGGAAGAAATAACATTCTTGCAGACTAGTTTCAAAAGCCAGTAATCTAAACATTGCTTTTCAACCTTTATGAAGTATCTCTGGCACTCAACAATTTTCAGAATAGGTCCCCTTTGTTGGTATTATTTTGATAACCAATACTTTTGTCAGTGCACAGCTCCTCTCCTTCTCAGTCTGTCTCATCTATACAGTATATCCTCTGCATACAGGCACATGCACATAAGATGCACATAAGCAGCTATGTCCAAACTCGAAACAGTCCACATACAAACGAACATCTCTAAATTTCATCAGTAACATTATTAATTAAAGAAACCAGGAAAATGTAATCATTGCACCCCCTTCCCTTTTACTCTCCACACTCCCCCTTGGAAATTGAAATAGTTTTAATAGATGGATGCTCGGGGACTGCTCATTAGCACTGACCCTTCCTGTAATTATCAGATCCATTTGTGAAATTCATAATGGACTTGTGTGCAACTGTGAACCAGGACCTAAATAAAGGATAGACTGCGTGGTCCAGTTCCCCACAGCAGGAATCTCCCAAGGGAGCTCTCAGTGGGTTCACACAATAGCAGTGTTTATGTTCATTTTATTTTTTTCTTGTTAATGATGCTAGTGGGCATATGTGTTACTATGGAGAGGCAGGACATATAATAATATAAAACTGATAAATTTGGAATAAGTTTGATAAAGTGCATCTGCTCAACTTTTCTTTCAGTGTTGACGTAGACAAATTCACAATTTAAAATTTTTTCCCACCTTGCCTTCGCTTGACTTCCACATATTAACCTCACCTTACATTTATATCGAATGAATCATATTTCCTCAGCTGGCTCCCAACTCCCTCCTTCCCCTTCTACTTGTTTAAAATGGCACAAGAGAATATAAAACTTCCTATTTAATAATTTTTTTCGTTGATGGTGTGAAGTTGGCCCTCTCCATACCAGCTGCCAGCGCAGCCTGGGAACACACACTGAGCTTTTTAAAATGTTTTCTTTTCTTGCTGTCACACTCGATGAGTTTATGACATTACATATGGAAGAACAGACTACTGAATAAAAGGCAGCTTGAATTACTTGTAGCGCAGATTGATGGGTTGAAACTAGTGTACTAGTTTTTAGTTGAATGCAGTGTTAAAATAACTTGTTTTTTGTTTTTTTCAATATTTTATTTTATTCATGTAACTTAATTATGTGCGGCTAAATGAATATCAGGGTCTCAGTGTCTCATGTGTAGCTGATGAAGTATTTATACAGGTAAACTGAAATACCACAGTAATGAATCAACTCAAATTACAGCATTTTACTGTCTTTTACAGTCTGTGTCTGTCTCTCTACCCTCCATTCTTCTCTCAGGTTGATCTCCTTTCAGGAGTTTGTCGCCTTTGAGTCGGTGCTGTGTGCCCCGGACTCCCTCTTCATGGTCGCCTTCCTGCTGTTTGATAAAGCGGGCAGTGGAGTGACCACTTTTGGTGAGTAACTCTGTCTCTGATTTACAGGATTAGATGAAATAATACAGCAGTCAAGTTACCACAAATGTGTTTGTGTCTCACTGAACTGTTAGTATGTATACGGTAGGTGCTGTAAAGTGCCTTACAAAAGACCTGGGGTAATCTACTGATCCTTGAAAAATACAAACCCCAGAAACTCATGATCATTCCTTTTAGAATATTGTTATTATGGTAGTTATTATGTCTTGTCCTTCACTCTTCACTGAGTGTTTTGTGTTGCCCTATTACTTTGTCTTTATGTAGTTAAAAATCTGTTTGTTTTTTTTAATTATTAGCAATACCAACATTACGGTGATAAGAATATTCTTATTTGATAAAAAACAAAGTTCTGGAGAAAGTAAACTTGTTGTTTAACGTGTGCTGTTCAACTAACAAATAAGAATTGTGATGCAGTCTAACTCTAATGGTATTATGTAAACATGAAATAAAAGTTCAGGTCTCAACACCACACTTGTTTCTTTGCATTTGACATTTAACAGACTTTTTCAGCCAATCCAGACAAATCACTGTGACTGTTCCTTTTAAATGTGCCAGTAACAAAGTTTGCATACAAAGTCCTCTTTTATTTATGTGGGGGTCTGACCTCCACTCATCTATTCTGTTATGGTTGCATCCACAAACAAAAATACTGTACCTTGTCTGTAAAGAAGGTAAGGTTAGATTTGGAGGTGGAGAGGGTTGGTGGCAACTACAGGATGGAGATGAAGATGGAGGAGGGGGTGGGTAGCACTATGTGTATGTATGTGTGTGTGTGTGCATTGATTGACACCATTACTCTGATGCCTGGAAGCTCCGAGGTGAAAAAGGGAAGACATTTGTACTCGTTGCTTATTTCACATTTGCCTAATTGATTTAAACAAGTCTAATGCCAGCCTTCTGTAGGTGTGCGAGGCGTTAGCACATTAGGCTTGATTTGAAATGCAGTGCACACATCCCGCTCGCAAACAGGGAAGAGTAAGTGAATTTCATTTTAATTGTTGCTGTCGACAGGGTGCAAGATCATTGCTGGTGATTATATATGCACATATGTAAATTTTCATATTTAAAAGGATCAATTAGAGTGACGTTGTCTTGGTGGCAATTAAAAGGTCCGCTGTTTTTCTGCGTCTCCCAAAGGTTAATGAATATCCCAATGCCTGTGAGTTATGAGACTCACATACAAGTGGAAAATTGCATGAAAAACATAACACACATCATGCCATGCACAAACATTGACTGCAGTGTCTGCCACTTGCATCAGGCTACCATTTCACCAAAAGCAAATAACTTGTGACTGAGATTATAGACTTGTCAAAGTTGCTTTATTGTGATACATTACAGAATTCGCCCCTTTTTTTCTTCTCTCGCTCTCTTTTTCTCTTTGCCGTTCGTTAGATTAAAGAACTTCACCATGGCACCAAGTAAAGAACTCCTTTCTTTATTACCTATTAAAAACATTAATAGCTGCAGCTTATGTTGCATTAAAGGCCCGTTTGTTCTCCCATGCAATAAATGTCTGTGCTCTGATTTCTTTTTATTTCATTTTTCTGTAAAGCCGTTTTAATTTGATAATAACCTGAGTAATTTCTGTTAAGTACAGGCGGCACAGTGCTCTGAATTTTTAGCACTTAAAAAATAAATGCATAATTTGGTGGAATGTCGAGTTCATAAAAATTGCAACGTAACACGGCATATAAAATGCAGTTGTGTCTCAGCCAGAAAGACAAAAAAAAGAAAAGAAACACTGAAAGACGACTGAGTGTTGACAGGTCTATAAAAGCTGATAATATAAACGGCAGGCTCTGGAGCAGCCTCTCCTTTAAAGAGTTAAAGGCTGTATATTTATTGCCTCATTAAAGTGTAAAAAAACAATGCACAAGCTGTCTTCTCTCTGAAGGTAAGGCTGAGCTGAAGTAAATATCACCTTTTTCTCTCTCTCTCTTTTCCTCCCTGTCTGTCTTTATAAAAAAGTTGTTTCTTTCCTCTTTTCCTTTCTCCCCTCGTTCAGCGCGGCTTGTTTGGTAATAAGAAACAGGTCACTCTATTGGTTTGTTTTTGTTTCTTTAGTAAGGCTGTAATTTAGGACTCATGTTCAGTGTCTCTCCACTCCACTGGCTGTAGAGGCTTAGAGGGTTCAGGCAGAGGAACATAAGTGAGAAGAAAAGGCTTTCCATCTGAATACAGAGCCTACACAGCTCAAACAAGTTCTGCCATGTGTCATTCAAAACTGATTTAGAGTTGAGGAACTTAAGACTCAATCAGAGTTGAATTGTGTTCTGGAGATTGACGTTGACATTTTGACAGAAATAATCACAGACGTTTTTTTTTTTTCCCCAAAATCAAATAATTACTAATGTTAACCACAAGATAGGAAACACATGCAGTTTGTTAAGACCTAACTCACAAGACTTTGTACCAACAGATTTTAGGTCTTAATTGGAGCAAATTAAAAACTTATGCAGGAAGAAGAAGAATTTGATAATTGTTTGTTGAACGTACAAAAAGGAGAATATGGGCAGGTTTTTAATGGTGGTGAAGGCCTTATACATGGTTAATGTAAAATAATTTGCCTTAGAAGTGGGGTGTAATCTGTAAAACCTAAACAAAACTGTTCAAGAATCATAATGGATTAGAAAATATAACTGTTTTACTTTTGCTTCATTGCTTGCTAACTTTTGTTTAAATTGTCTCTGTTTTACATTCGTCAACACAGGAAATCATCGGTGGAATGTTATTTACTCTAGTACTGTACTTTAGTACAGTTTCGATGTGCTTGTGCTTTACTGGAGTGCTTCAAGTTTATGTTACTTTATACTTCTATTCCACCTCAGAGGGAAATATTTTACTTTATACCCACTATGTTTATTTTATAGCTATAGTTACTCTGCTAATTCAGATTTTATATACGAAACATTTGATTAGCTTCTGAAACATGACACATTTTTACAGTTCAAACTACGTAACAGTATATAATGCTGTTAAAATTAGCTCCAGCCAGACCAGCTGGAACGGTAACTGCTACTTCCACATTAATTTATCAAGTACCAGTAATAATAAGCATTATTTATTCATTGTTCATCTTTCATCTTTTTTTGTCTCCTCTGCAGAGGATGTGAAGCAGGTCTTCGGGCAGACCACCATCCACCAGCACATTCCCTTCAACTGGGACTGTGAGTTCATACGGCTGCACTTTGGCGTGCAGAGGGACAAGCAGCTCAGCTACGGAGAATTCACCCAGTTTCTCCTGGTAGGTTTTGTGTTGATCACCTGCTCTCCCTGTCTCTCACATGCCATTTTTTTCCCACTCTGCTGACACGAAGGAGACACATTCTCTGTGTTTCTGTTTTTCGTCCTTGTCTTTTTGCGTTTCTGTCTATGGCCCTTTTTTGTTGGTCTGTCTGACTGACATCAATGATAGTCAATTAATCTGTATCAACCAGTTTATGTGCTTGTACACATTGTCTTATCCTCACATATTGTTTATAGGCTGTTCATACAATCCTGTCACATAACTGTATTCTTAGATACTTGACTAAGCCTGGCCAGACGAATGTGTGCACATAAAGACGCACGTTTCTATCCCTCCCAAACACAGCCCTCCATATTGACCAGATTAGTCATTAATGAAACACTGAGGTTATGTACTGTATTTTGGACATTTTCTGCATTTGTTTTCCATTAGCTGACGTACACCTAGCATTTCTCCACTCCACCTATTCTGAAGCAGGTAGAGACGCAGTTCTACCTCCATAAATAGTATAGCTGGAATATTCCTAGTGTATTTGTGGCGTGTGAGCCATTTTCCAATATGATGTCTAGACTTAAATCAGGCCTAAGCAGGGAGAGGTGGTAGAGGGGGTGGGAGGGAGGGCCTGAGCTGTGCCAAGTTTGCATCCACACTCACCATGTATTTGAATGAGCTTTTTATATTACACTTAACTTAGACCAGATGGCTTACACACAGTGGGCAGCAAAGTATGGATATTGGGACATTGTTATATGTACGTGTGTCCTTGTGTGTGTGCATGTGTTTGAACATATAGTATGTCTGCTTATAAATACGTGTGGCTCTATGTATGTGTGTTTATCTTACTTATCTGCTTTACCGTATGGGGGAGCAGTGGCATGAAACCATTGTGCAACTGTGTTTATGTCAGTGTTTCTGTATTTGTGTGTGTTTGTTTTTGCCCGTGTGTGTGTGCGCGCGTGCGTGCATGAGTGCAACTGTGTGGCGTTGTGGCCAGTAGATGCTGTACTTTGCATTGACAGCATGCCCAGTTCTCTCCCAGTCAGTCACTCAGTGGTTTCCAGCTCCTCACAGCAGCAGGCTAGCAGCCAGCCGCACTCATTGCTCAACTATGAAATGCACATTTCCTGCTTATGCTCTCTGTATTTGATCATTTCTCATAGCTTTTGATTCATGCCTTAATAAATGGCAGAAGAGAGTGGATTTCATGTTATTATAGGATGCCTCTCTGTGTAGGTAAGAGTAAGGGATGTTCAACAGAGTGTTGTAAATATCATCCTGCATTTCATCTTTTATCACGTCCCTTCTCTGGTCTACTGATATTTGTAAAAGAACATTCTAAATATTTTAACTTGAGAGGTCTGCTGTTGTTGTGGGCTCTTATAAAGTAAGTCACATTATTAAGACACAATAATAGCACTGTGATGGTGCATTACTTGCTGCAATTATAGTACTTAGGTACAAGTTAAATCCAGGTATTGGCAGTTCACTCCTATAGTGTGTTATCTGCGAATCAAGTGATTGATGACAGGGCAATTAGGATAGGCACAACAACATTTCCTGCAGCAGAGTTTAAGCCTGTACAATTACTACATACTTTGTGATTGCACTATTACCCAGTGATATTACAATACCTTCGTCAGCAGACTAAGCATTCGTAAATGTCAACCTTAAAGAAATGAAAGAATCTATATGCAGTTATAGAAGTTCTCAGGGAGTTATTACACATACCATATTCTCAATATTTTTCAGTTATTTATATAATTCCCTATCACCCAACTTTCTCCCCCAGGAATGTTCCTGTCCTTTATTTCCTCTTCTTCCTGCCATACATGCATGTGTTTATTGTGTTTTTCTGCCATTGTAACCACGCCACTGCCAGATGCTCACAAGATGGGATTATCGGGGAAAACGTTTGCGCCGCATATTTCTCACAAGGGCTCTCTCTGGCCAATTACTGTCTTGATGGAAGCCAGAGATTCTCACCAATTACATGCATTTTTCTCGTCTCACGCGTGGACGCTGGCCAAGGCTCAGCTCGCACTGTCAGCGTGGTGTTGTCTCTGGCAATGGTATTACCGATGTCCAGAGAAGTGGCACATAGTGGCACATTTTCGCCCATATTATAAATGCTGGCAAGTAAAGGGCTTGAATTACATGGAGGGGACAACACATGTCCCACTTCTTTCCTAAGCACTCAAAAAAAGTGAATTGTTGGCATTGCTCAGATTTTAAAAGTCCCAATTATATGTTTGACTCTCCCAAGAATCATTGGGCAGCCCTTAACATCACTGTGTAAAGGGCTCAGTGGCACACATGTAAATGGGTAGTTGTGCTTAAGCTTCTCCTTACAATAACTTTAGCTCTGCGCTGATGAGAAGCAGAGATCGGAAAGAGGGAAACAATCCTGCTGCAGTCATATCTGTTGTTTAAATTTTGAAGAGAGAGGGAGGAGAATCACAGCCATTGAAAACAAACAGAGGTGGCTTGTCATGTGTTTTTATTCTTGTCCAAGGACAATTAAAGCAACTGCAAATGCCTCGGCGGTCTCCTGTTGGCTGTCTTAAGCCCCCAGCTTTATGTCTCCTGCCTCCATCACTCCCCTCCCAAATAAAAACCATGGCCCTGAAACACTCATACAGTTGCAACAAGTTAAGGTTTTAAGAGGCTGAGACTACAAACTGCTCCATTCCCTGGACCACAGTTGTTTTGTTGATCTGTGTGGTTGGTGTGTGGCTTTTTCAGACTTCTGACTTGTCCAAAGAAACAGGATTTTTTCTACGTTTACAAATGGACACAAACACACAGATAAATGTTTACTCTTAATTTTGCACATGCACACAGTCATGTATGCAAAACAAATCACTTCTACACTTTCCTTTTTTGTTTTGGCTCTAGATATTTTAGTTCCCCTCCTCCCATTCCTCTTCCCAGTTTATTTCTCACCAAAGTGTTTTGACCTACTCACAACCGACCGGAGAAATGAGTCACGACACTCAGGATGCTGACACCAAAATATCTCACCTTATTTACTTTGGAAATGTTTACGTGTGTCAATCTCTCTTCGTTTCCTTGCCTTCCACTCACTTATACACTCTCCGGAGCCCCTGCTGTGCTCATAGGTGATACTGACACATGGCTGCTACATTTGCTGTTTTCGCAAATCTGGCTCTTTTGTTGCAGTGTCTATTCTTACTCCCCTCCGGTCTCCATTCAGCTTTGTGTAAATGTCACTCTTCCCCAGTCGTTTCTCTTGGGCGCTGCGAATTTAGAGTCGATCAGTTATGCTGTCAGTGAAATATCACTCAAATTCAACACAACAATAAGTCATAGTCTCATAGGGTTTTGTGTTGTGGTAATACCACTTTTTTGAGTTCCATTTATAACAATAACATCTGAATCAATCAATTCAATAATGCCATGCATGTTCACGATTTTTATCAGTCCCCTTACAGTACTTTTTGTCCTTCACATGTGGCTTGAAAAATAATGTCCATTCTTCTTGAATAAATTGATAATCATTTATTTTAAACTGAAAAAAGTTATTGTACTTAAACTACTAGCTAGTACTGTTTTAAAAGAAACATTTTAAAACATTTTCCCCTGACATGATTCAGCATTTACACAAAATTTTGACATATTGTCATTCTTTCTATGTGTTCCTGTTGAATATAATCTCTTAGTTTAGGACATTTGTGGGATTGTGTGTGTAATAAATTAACTTAATTAAGCTGGGTGGTGCTTTTTTAATGGAGAAATATTTTATACTGTTGTACTACAGGTATGTTTGTATGTATGTATGTATGTATGTATGTATGTATGTATGTATGTATGAGTCTTCCGATTATTTCTCAATTAATCAGTTAATGATTTGGATTGTAAAATGGCCTTAACAATTTTTCATCAGGCAAACTGACCCAAAACAAAAGAAAAGCAACAAATCCTGACATTTGAGGAGCTGAAACTTGTGAACAAAATTGTTTATGGATTAATTGGATATAAAAATTGTTGCAGATCAATTTTCTGTTGATCAGCCAATCGTTTCAGCTCTACATGTATATTAGAGATGACAAAAGAGAATTTAGAAAAGCTCTCAAAAACTCTTCTGTGGCACGGATGTTTCAGTTGAGTTACCATATAGAACCTAAAAGTGAGTACGCTTAAATTGGCCATTTAGACCTTTGTTATTGCCACAAACCTTGTGCAAAAAAATACAACAGTCTCATGATTTTTTTTACCATATTGCTTTTTTGATCTCAATACCATAATTCACGGCAGGTGAGTCAAAGGCTAAATCAACTAGCCTTAGCTCACTGTCCTCATGCGTATGACTGTATTACACAATGACTGTGTGGATTATTGTTGTTCTCATAACCCTGTCTTTTGCTGTAACCGAGTGTCTTGTTGTAAGATAGAGAAAGCATTGATGGCAGCAGTTTGTTTACAGCCTCTCTCCGTAGACTTGTGGTTGCAGGTACCGATAATGGCAGCTAATTTCAAAGGCCTTGTGGGATCTGTCCCCACCACAGCCCGCCGTTGTCCCTGTGGACCTTTGTGTGTATGTGTGTGCAAGAAGAGAGACAAAGTGAGCAGTTGGGTGATTAGCTGTCTTTCCTGTGTGTGCACGTCTGTGTGTGTGTGTGTTTGTATGTTTCAGCCTCAAGTGGGTTTAATGGGGATTTGGGGAGGGTGTGAAAAGCCCAAGTGACGCCTCACAGTAGGCAAGCCGCTGTTGGGAAAGGAGACTAGGCTGAAGCCCGGCCAAACTCTGGCTACCCGTAACTGAAAGGGGGAGATGGCACCAGGGGGCCCATCAAAGCAAATGCTGAGTTTTTATATGTATGTGCTTATGTGTGTGAGTATATGTGGATTTTAATTTATGAAGGCAACTTAAAGAGGTGTATGACCCACATATGTGTACAATAATATGCATTTACTGTATGATCTAACACCTAGACTCCCCTCCTTTCTTTCTCCACTCCCTTCCACAGGAGATGCAGCTGGAACATGCACGACAGGCTTTTATCCAGCGGGACCAATCCCACAGCGGCTCCATCTCAGCCCTGGACTTCAGGGAGATCATGGTCACCATCCGGCCACACATGCTCACGCCCTTCGTGGAGGAATGCCTCGTGGCGGTGGGTTTTTTGTTTGGCTCTGCGGTGTTCTCATCTCATTTGTTTTACTGTCATCCACAGAGCCAAAGTCAGACTGGTTAAAAATAGTGAGTTTGGTCACAGCTGTGCACCTGGGAGTTATGATATTTTATCATTTTATGTTAAGAAAATGTTGTAAAAATTGATATATTAGGGCATTTTAATACTGTAATAATTTAATATTGCACATTAGCTGCACTTTTTTGGCCATGATACAGGTGAATGTACATCTATCTTTGTCACTTGATGGCTATGTTGTGATACAGTAAAGTAACTATATATCTAACAAAATCTTGGAATGATTAACTGCAAGATGATGCTCACTCTGGAATATCAAAAAACAAACACAATGTTTCATAAAGGGCATCTCTACATATACACGTTATAAGCAATGTTTGCTACTGATTTGGTAGCTAAAATCAGCTACAAAACTTAACATACTAATATTACCGTAAAGAGGTAAAGGCAGGACTGTTTCTTCCCTTCTCAAGTCTTCTTTCTTGTCTTTTGTCCTCCCTGTGTTCATTTCTTTCTCTTACACTCCCACAACCAAACACCATGGCTTTCCCTCCAGCTGTCTATCTCTCATGTCTTCCTCTTCCTCTTTACCTCATCTGTCGCCTCTCATCCGTCCTCTCTCTTCTTCCCTCCCTCCATTTTTTTTCCCTCTCTCTCAACTGCCCCTCTTTCTATACTTCCCTCCCCCGTGTCTCTGTCTCCCTCCCAACATGTCATTAAGTCTAACCTCTCTGGCAGTGTCAAAGCCAAGCAGGCCAGCTGAATGGGAAGATAGAGACAGAGATAGATGGGGACTGGAGCTTTACAGTCCATCATCTTTGCCTGTGTGTTTGTGTGTGAGCAGCTGTGCATGTGTGCTCTATTTGTTTTGAACTCTGAGATGTTTGTCTTTTTTTGTGTCTTGTCTTTTCCTTCTGTGTGTTAGTGTTTTTGTTGCACGTGTGTGCGTCTTGTGTCTGTGTCCATGTCTTGCCCCATTTCATAAACACCTTGTAGACTCTGTCATTTTCTCCACTGTGTTTACCTCACCGACCAGACATCTTGGTGTGCTGTTAGTAAACTCTCTCTCACGCTCTAGTGTGCGCGCACACACACACACACATACATACATATATCAAAAATCCCATAAACACTGAAACACTGCAGACACATTAAAGGCGGTATTATGGCAGAACACAAACATTGAAACGGCAACCTTTAATTCACTCACCAAAAATGGTAAATGATCAGCGCCACACTCTCTCCCCCCAAATATTGTTCTCCTCTCCCCCACTGTGAAAGACTCTGTGTTGGATATCGTGGGAAGATCCATGTCTATAGGCTCATAGATATGAACAGATACAAAAGTGACTCTCTGTTAGGGCAGTTTCACCCAAGCCAAAGCTTCCCTCCCATGTTGCAAACACAGAAAGCAGCTAGCAATCTTCCTGCATGTGTCTGTAAAGCAAACAGTGCCATCTAGTGAAAGGAAGCTCTCAATTTTCAGTGGAGAAAAGCAAAGCCCCAAGGCTCATCTGATACTCTGGCCTTAACTACCCAAAACAGGCAACAACATTCAGGGAACGTACTTGAAACACACATTACTAAACATGCAGCAGTTAGAGCTGCTTCGCTAAGAATTTGAGAGCCTGGTTTGATAAAGATGGGATCCTGGCTCTCATAAAAGAGTTTGTGGACAGTCTGGAATGTCCTTAAAGGCCCCAGCGTCTATTTTTAATCCGTTACCTTTTTTCTATTTTCTGTTCTTTTACCACTTCCTCCACCTCATAAAGAAAGTTAATTAAACTCCACGAGAGTGTTCGTCTTGTGATGGAAAAAGTAGCGGTTGAAACAGGTTTACTTCTCCCTGCGGAGTGATAGTAGAGAAACGCTGCTGATTAACCATTGATGTTTGTCAAGATATCCTCTTGACAAGTGATTTTTTTTTTCTCCCATAATCATGATATCTAAATCCATCTCTCAAGCATTTGTTCTATTTTGAGTATAACTGTATTTATGTATGTGTCTTAGTCTATTGCCTGTTAAATTCCCCGTCTTCTTCTTTGCCCAGGTTGCGGGTGGCAGCACATCCCATCAGGTCAGCTTCTCCTACTTCAACGGCTTCAACTCGCTGCTCAACAACATGGAGCTGATCAGAAAGATCTACAGCACCCTGGCTGGCCACCGCAGAGATGTGGAAGTCACCAAAGGTACCTAGGGAGAAAAAAAAAATTACCAAACTTATATATTATATAAACATAGGCAACCAAAAAGCAGAAGCACGTTTATGATTATATGCACATGCACTCACATGTAGTGATGTTTTCTACATGTATGCAGTGCAAAAATATAGACGGCATATAGGACAAATACTCCCAAATAAATGTGAGCATACAATGTATATGTGCTCTCACACACAAACTGGACAACAGACAATATTGAAAGTGTGTCCCACATAATGTATTTACATCTATGTGTGTGTTGAAAGGGAGGGTGGAAACTTGTTTTTGTTTGGTTTTCTTCCTTCCCGGTGGCATTTAAATGGGCACATTGGATGCCACCCAGCACACGTACTGCATACCCACAATCCCTGATGGTGCCTGTCTTGTCTATTAGACATCCTGGCACTGATCTGTGGACCGCTTTATATGTCCTGGGATGTGTTTGGTTGAAAATTAAATTTCTAATTCTTCAAAAAACAGACAAAAATGAGAAACGATTTGATTTATCAAAAAAAGTTATGCGCCCACTTTTGAGGCTGTTGCCTCCTCATAGATCAAATGAACCTTCAGTTCTTATAACCCTTCATTATCTAAATTATTGCAGAACAATAATGTTAAACTACAAGAAGCTGAAATTTGGTGTTTTGTTATATATTGATCCAACAGATTCAATGTGTTCACTGTGCCTCCCTTTCTCTAATGGTTAGTTTCTTAAAATCCTTATCTCTCTCTCCCTTGCTTGCCCAACTTGCTGTCCCTCATTCTTTTCCTCAATACTTGGCAAAGAGCCTAGTTGGCTCTCTCTGTCTGTCTCCCTTTCTCTGTCTCTTTCTTTCTGACTCTGACTCCTGCTCTGGTCGTGTTTAAGAAACTGTTTTGACCTCTCTCCACATGGCCCAGGGCCACTAGTGTAGCCTTATGATGCTATCTGAAGCCTTATCAGGGGTGTGGACCATAACCAACCCAGACCAAGAGCCCATGTGCTCCCCAGGCTGTTCCCACCATGGGTACACCAAGACTGGGCTTGGCTGGACCCATGGTGGCCCATAGCCAGCTAGACCTCCACAGCCACCACCCATCCACCCTCCACTCCCTGAGTCATTAAGGCTTCCTTAGGGACTTCAAGTGCTCCGCTCCATGTACTACTAGCTGGCCCACAAACACATACTGTACACACTCCAGCATGTATCAAGTGTATGTGTATTTTGCAACACACTCACCCCTCACATTTCTCACATACACACATGCATTCAAATACATTAACACAGCCAAGCATGCACACATGCGTAATAATCCTGATTGATTCCGTATGTGCAACAAGGCCACTGTTTTGCCTTAGGGATACCGTTGCAGCGCTTAGCGCGTACACAACTTTTATTGAGCCAGCAGTGTACAACCACAAGGCAAATAATGAGTGTGCACCTTTGTGAACAGGTTAAAATCAAGTGTATGTTGATGAAAAATATGTGTTAACACATAATAGTGTACATGTATGTTTACTAGCTATTGCCATAAATGATGATATATGAGCCTGTTCCCATCTGAGGACGACACAAATGATTGTTCTAAAATTTAAATTGATCAGGTTTTTTTCTAGTAGGGTTTCTTGACTACTTAACTATCTCAGGTTGCTTTTTATATCAGTATTTACCCAGTGGCATTGTTGGTCAGTTGTTCCATACTAAAATTCAAATTCTCAGCTATACTGTACTGTGCTTTGAGTTTAATGCTATTGAGCAAGCAAGTTAAATAAAGATGGTGACGATTCAACATCAGTATGTTAGCATGCTGACATTAGTGTTTTCTCAAAGCACCAATGTTTTTAAGTACAGCCTCACAGAGCTGCTGGCTGTAGACTCTTTGTTGTCATTTTTTTTATATAATTGCTTTTATGCAATTGTTTTCTTTTTTATAACTATGAGTTGTTTTTGATGTCCCTATTATATTTTACCTGAATGTTTATTGTCTTGCCTTGTTTTCACTACTTTTTTTCTTTTTTTGATGCATACATAATGAACTTTGTAATAAAATAATGCTGTATAAATAACAATTATTATTATAATACGCTGAAGAGGCATCCATTAGTTTGCACTCATTAACAAAAAAGCAATAATTGTCTTAACAAAGGATGAGAGGATGAGTTTAATTTTAATAAATCTGTAGTATTTAGCTGTTTAAATGCTCTAAGTTTTTAAGTGTCAGTCTTCAAATGTGAGCAGCTGTGTGCAAACAGATTTATACATTTTTCACATTTGACAGTTGAGACTATAGAAAATAAACTCATTTAGTGCATATAACACAATACAATTCAACAGCACCACAAACTGCAGCCTCCAAAATGACCATAAAGTTGAATCAACCTCTCTTAAATAGTTTCAATAAAAACTGAACATTATAACCTTCATTAGGGAAGACTCTTTTATTAAATTGCATTAGTTTTAGGTGTACTTAATAAACAGCTAACTGAGTGTATGCTATCAGGGAAATGTGTCTGGACAAGGCATTTATGTAATGGTCACTTCACAAAGAGGAAATATAAAAAAGGGGATAAAGGTCAGACAGGTGTGTGTGTGTGTGTGTGTGTGTGTGTGTGTGTGTGTGTGTGTGTGTGTGTGTGTGTGTGTGTGTGTGTGTGTGTGTGTGTGTCTGTGTGTGTGTGTGTGTGTGTCTGTGTGTCTGTGTGTCTGTGTGTGTGGTGACTACAGGCTACAGGTAGACAGGTTATCAGCATTGTGATCTGTGATCTCTCCAGACAGAACTCTGTCTATGTCTGAGTGTGTGTGTGTGTCTTTGTGTGTTTGTGTGTGTGTCTAGTCTTGTGTAAGTATGCTCTCACATGCTTGTGAGCATCACCTGCATGTACCCATGGATATATATATATATATGTGTGTGTGTGTGAGAGAGAGAGATAGAGAAAGAGAGCATGCCTCAGGGGTAAGCTGAGCCTCGGCGGGGTGAATGGCTCCAGTGTAGGACGACTTTGTCACAACCCCAGCCTGCTGCTCTTTGAATAAAGCAGGTCAAACAATGCTGACTCCTCCACTGTAAGCCAGCCTACAGTCAACCTGTTCTTTATTCCACCAACAATAGACCAGGTTTCAGGTTACAGCATACTAAAGCTGCCTCAAAGAACTCCATGAAGTCCATAACTCTTTATGTCTATTTTCTTATGATGAATTCAGCATGCTTTGACACTTCTCACTTGTAATTAAAACTATGTTACAGAGGGAAATATGCATAAGTGACAGAACTTGAAGAAAAAAATCCACCATAAAGCGTCAACATTTAAAATAGCCAACTAAAAAGAGCAGCAAGAACATAATGTAACGTTCAGTACAACCCAGCAATCCAGTCTTCATTATCTAATCATCCATCCACCTCAGCCTTAGATTCAGGAGGAGGAGTGTATATGGCTGTGGCTGTGAAGCAGTGGACCCACTATTCACTGTAGATGTTGCTGCCACAAAAGGGCTGTTCCTTGTTACCTATTCTGTTTGTAATTTTCATGGACAGAATCCCAATGCACAGCCAAGGAGTTGAGAATATCCAGTTTGGGACATCACAATTGCATCGCTCTCTGCTGATGATGTAGTTCTGTTGGCTTCATCAGGTCATGACCTCCAGTATGTGCTGGACCAGTTTGCAGCCAGCTGTGAAGCTGTTAGGATCATTGTTGGCGCCTCCAAATTTTAGGCCGGAAAAGGGCAGATTGCCCTATTGGAATTAAAAGAGAGTTGATGTCTCAAGTTAAGGAGTTGTGGAGATGATGTTGGGGACTTGCGTGCCAGTGAGGGTATACTGGTCCTCAGTTTTTTGGATGTTGTACCATTGTACTCCTGAAAGCCTGAAAACAAGCCTCTCGATTTACCTGTCAATTTATGTTTCACTCAATTCAGAGTTTATCCACAGCTCCTTTGGATTAAAATGAAACAACTGAGGTGGTTTAGGTGGCATCAAATCATGACCATTCCCAGACCCAGAGCACACTGGAGGAATTATGAATATCTCATCTGGTTGAGATCCACCAGGTTGAGCTGGAGGATATGGCAGAGGAGTAAAATGTCTTGACTGATACAACATCTGCTTCGTTTACTGTCACCTTGACCAGGACACAGACAGACGGCATCAAATGGAAAGATAGGGATATAAGATGTTTTCATTGTGTTTTCTATTTATTGTGTTGTAAATGTTGGTTTATTCATTAATTTTAGTACAAACTAAATAAAAACCTCCCTTTTTTGTAGAGGAGTTCATTGTGGCAGCTCAGAGGTTTGGGCAGGTGACACCCATGGAGGTAGACATCCTCTTTCAGCTGGCTGACCTGTCGGAGCCCCGTGGGTAAGACAGACAGACAGACAAACAGACAAACACACACACACACATTGGCAAAAAAACATCTCTAAAGCTTCAAAAACAAAAAAGGCCCACAGAAAAATCATGCTAGTTTTGATTTAATACCTCTATTTTCATAATGTGACAGTATTTTGGATGTAATTTGCTTTTCTATGTCTAATCTAGTCTTGGGGTGGATAATATGATCTCCGAGGAAATAATCATTAGTAATGTGGATCTGATGGCCAAGCAGGTAGTGACATTCATTGGATGTTTCACTGAGAAAAGGCAAACACTTAAGTTCAGAAAATTGTAGCTTTGTTACTGCGATAATGGAAGGATTGCATCTTCGTACATCAGTCATTTAACTTTTTCCTCAGCTAGTCGGGGAGAAAGCCTATCCCACACTTGCCCCCCACAGCACACCTTTGGCCCTAACGTCCATAACTCAGATAGACGAGCACTTTCTTCCTTCTCAAACTTCTCTGCAACGGATCAAAAGAATCAGACATGACTACATCAGTGCCAGAGAATCGTCTTTCAGTCCAAACCCAATCCAAACTCCCATTCATGTAAAAAAAAAAAAAAAGGGGGGCAATTCAAGCTCCTATAATCCGTGGCACAAAACAACTGTATATGTCTCACATTCCCTCACTTCCTCTGCGTCTGCCTCGCGGCCCGACGAGTGTACTCATAATTTCTAACCCCGGCCTGAGACACCACCTGATTATTATTTCTGGGCAATGGGATACTTTAATAGCCCTCTCCACTCCCCTTGATTGGAGATGCGAGAGATAATAGCCCCAATATTCAGAGGAGAGGAGTGGGGAGAGTGGGGAGAATGGGGAGGGGGGGGATTTGGCGTTCCCCGTTCCCTCAGCCTGGGAAATCTGGGACCATCATAGAGATGCAATGGAAAGACTCATAAAGGCAGTAGTTTTCTATCCAAAGGTTAAATATCTATGTTATACTTGGATGAAGGGATAAAAGAGTGGGAGTCGTCAGTTCCTGTAGATCGGTTGTCTAACTCAATCATGCCAAGCGTAGGTCTGGATTTCTGAATGCCACAATATTTTCACATAGAACGATGGCAAAGTATCTGTAAAGTTTGAGTAACTTCACACTGACAGATTGCGCTTGCAAAGGTCATGTACTTGGTGATGCATGTATGAAATATTATAATCCTCTGAGAGTTTTTACAACAGTTGAAAGTTACTCCAAACCTCCCTCTCCCTCCTCATTCTCTCTCTCTTCACCAGACGTGTTGGTTTAGTGGACATCGAGAAGATCGCTCCGCTGGAGGAAGGTGCCCTGCCCTACAACTTGGCAGAGGTCCAGAGACAGGTACAGAATATGAAGACTTGTTGATGTGTTTGGTTTCCTCTTCCACATTGGCAGCTCTTTTCCATCTCGATACAATCTCTAGGGTTAGATGTCACCGTGCAGATGACTGAGATTTATAATTAAAGATAGTGATATCTCCTTCACAGGTAATTAATCTCCAAAACCAAAACATCAGTTTGATTTAGGATTTTGGCATGAATTATACTATTAATTCACTGACACATGTGTATTAGAGTTACATAGAAGTGAAATTAAGCAACACAGGAGATGTAGACCCAAACAGGCTTTGTGAAGTATAAAGTTGATAGTTTGCCCCCAAGTTGCCGGTCAGCCAGTACACATCAGTCCTACTCATTTATAAAAGTTCATACCAAGGTTTAGAACCCAGTGTGTCCAAGTTAACACCACTAGACCCCCCCCCCCCCCCGCCCACTCCTCCCCACTCCCCACTCCCCACTCCCCAACTCCCACTCCCCCTTCACATGTGGTTGATGTCTTAAAAAAAAAATACATATACTCAGAACTCCCAAATCCACACAAATAAAGAGAAGCAGAAACGTCCTCATTAGCTAATGAAAGTCAAACATACTTCACATTGTAAATAATAGATGTGAAAAGACTTAAGACAAGTTGTAACCAAGAAGAGGAAGGAGGACGTATTGAGAGCCGGACAGATGAGCAGAGGAGTGTTTTCTTTCTCGGGCTGTTTGGTCAGAGTTGTGTTGCCGGGTGGGTTCCAGCGCTACAGTGAAGGCTTGGCCAGGCCATATTGGAGCAGGCTGGGGCCAAAGGGGAGCAAGCAAAGGGGCCCAGCACTACACAGACGCCAGTCCCACCACAATGAGCCACTTTAGGCCCTTGTGGTTCGGCCTCGGGGGCTGGCCGCCAGCTAGCTGGAACTCTCTCTCCTCATCTTTCGCTTGTTCTCTCCATTTCCTTTTTGATCTACTTCTCCCTTTCTCTCTCCCTCTCTCTTATTTCTCTACATGTTTGCCGGTTTGCCTTTTCTCTCTCTTTATGTCCTGTTAACTTGTTCCCTCTTTCTCCCTCAAACATCCTGACAGTAAGTATTGCCAAGTTTCATCAGTCCTCAGGCAAACAGAGCTGAGGAGGATGGGAGAGTTTGTGTAGAGGGGACGTTTGGGCAGGAAGCAACCTCTGAGGATGAATTGTGGGGGTGGGGCTGGGGTTCTCTCTGACAGTTGGACCTGTTCTAGAGACTCCCATTCCCCTCACCCACACACACAGACACACACACACACACTCACACACACACACACACATACATACTTACCACACTGCACCCCCCCTCTCCCCAGGGTCGAGAGGCCAGGGCTGGGCAGACCAGACAAGGCAACAGGTACCTCAGGTGGAGGAGGGAGTGTGGCTAATGTTACTGTGTGGCTAATGCTACTAACACTTTGCTGCTCTCAGATCACTTTGATTCTAATTTTATTTGACAAATGGTTTTTCAGACTAGTGTAAGGCAGATTCAGTTACACAGAAACTGCCATTCTAATGCAGAATGAAAGAATTAAGCACTGACAATAAATACGTCAACAGATAATACAACCATCTCTGTATATGTCCTTAGTTTCAGATGGAGAAGTGCAAAGAATTAACTAGTTATAGTTGAAAATAAGTAATTGTAAATTAAATATAAAGGGTGTGTGTTTACATATATTAATATTTAGTATATTATGCTTTAAAATATTAGATATTTACTTTATAGAAATTGCACAGGAAAAGACAGTTGCACAGAAAGTTGATCATACTGGTTTTTTGGCTCAGTGCAGGGATACAACACTACATATTAGGTGGTGGTTAATAGGTTTACATGTTTTATGCAACAGTCTTAAAACCTAGAAAACACTCCGATCTTTTCTTAATTTCTAACCTTACTCACCACATGATCACTTGTGCAGGACTTAGTGTTGCTTTCAGCAGTTACTCTGTCTAGTTCTAAAATGATTCTATCAACTAGTCTATCAACAAAAAAATTAAGTCAGTTTATTTTTTTAAGTCAAGGTGCCAAAGACATGTCTGGTTACAGATTCTTAAATGAGAAGATTGGCTGCTTTTCTGTTTCTATAGCTCTGTAATCTGAGAAGCATTGTGAAGACGTCATCTTGAGCTATTGGAAATAACGATGGCAGGTTTTTTTTCACCATTTTCTGACATTTCATAGTCAGTTAAACAGTTACTCAAAAAAATAATGAACACAATAATTGTAGAAAGTATGATTTTAAAGCATGTTTATTTGTACACTCATCAATTAAAGATATTTTGTTACTCTCATTTCTTGTAAGCATAATTAGTAAATGATCATTATGATTAAAACCAATGTCCATCATGAAATTGGGACTTGCTGTCAAACACTATACAACCTGTGTGACAAATTCTTTATTTAATAGCCCTTTATCTTGCAGGGTGGTGGAGTTAGATGTGTGGCATGCAATGTTTTATGAAGTACATGTGGAATGTTTTAGAGAAATGTCTGAAACTGTGAGTTGTCTACTGGCATGTCTCTCTAACTGTTTTAATCTGTTCTGTTCCACTGTGAGCAGCAGTTGGGCAGTGACGGCTCCCGCCCCATCCTGGTCCAGGTGGCAGAGTCGGTCTACAGGTTCACCCTTGGCTCAGTGGCAGGGGGTAAGAGTCACGCCCCATTGGCTCCCTGCATACCTTCAACCCACCACCCACCTACCTGCTTGCCTGCCTACCTGCCCCCCCCCCCGCCCTCCACTGTCCTCATAAGAAAAGGGTGAGAGAGAGAGAGAGGACAATGGCCCCTCTATTGCCCTTTTGCTTGCTTACAAGAGCAACGGTCACTCCCCTGCTTAAAGAGAAGTTCTCCCTCTCCTTCTCGTTCTCGGTCAGTCTCTCTCTCTCTCTACCGTCCCTCTGTCTCGCTCTGTCCCGTCTCTCGTCTCTCTGCGTGCCATGGGAAAACCCTCTTGTGTGGATTCTTTTGTACCTGTATGAGTGATCACAAGAGGGAGGATGAAGGTGGGGGTGAAGGGTGGTGCCTAGGCCTTGTGTTTGGCTCCAGACTCCCCACTGTTTGTCTTCTCCTCCTCCCTTCCTTCATTCCTCCCTTCTCCTCCTCCTTCTATCCCAAGGGAGACAGCTTAATAAGGAGGTACGGGTCCGCCATCCCTTCTTCTCTTTCGGCCTCTCTCTAATTAAGTCTGTCGCCTTGGGTCGGTTCTTTTTGTTTGTGTCCGTCTGACAGGCCGAAGACACTGAACTCAAAAAACTTTGACGTTCTTAACATTACCCCCACATACTTCCCCTTCCTCCTCCTCCTCTACCTCTTCTTCCTCTTAAAGGGTCAATTCACCCAAATTGCAAAAACACCTAGTGGTATCTCGAGTGGTATCACTGCCAGTAGTTTTTCACCCCAACATTATGACGGTGAATTTAATTTTGTTTGCATATTTGTGAGATTTTAGCATTAGCATAATCAGCGACCTCTAATTGTGAGGTTGCGCTCACTTTCAGCATAATATGTAACCTCTAAAATAATTTTTCTACTCAACAACTGCTGTTGAGTAGAAAACTATTGTATTTTTTCACTGGTGAACCAACCATTTAATCTACATCTGTAGCTGAACTTTGCTCAGGTTATTCCTAACAGTTTGAACATATTTTCAAAAGAAAAAGTAGCTTAGAGTCATTAAATAACATATGACCCTATCTACTCTTCACTCCTCTTACTCATTTTTTCAGCTTTTTCTATTGTTGTTGGCTTCAATTGTAAAACACAAAGATGTATGCACAAGAGTGGGACATGGCTGTCATAAAAGTAAAGCACTTAAGTGAAAGTTGTGTGTTGAAATAAACAGATAATACCCTCATAACATGTGGTCAGTATCTAAAAAAAGCTTTTGTTTTATTGTCTGTAGCTGTGGGTGCCACAGCAGTGTACCCCATTGATCTGGTCAAGACGCGCATGCAGAACCAGAGGAGCAGCGGCTCCCTGGTGGGAGAGCTCATGTACAAGAGCAGCTTCGACTGCTTCAAGAAGGTGGTGCGCTATGAGGGCTTCTTTGGACTTTACCGAGGTCAGTATGCATGAATGTTTTGACCTGCAGCCATGGTTGTAAACCGCACAGTCGATACTGTCTTTGATGCTTTAATCCTGCAGTACTTGTGCAAAAGCTACTGTTGCTTATACTTGCTGGAGTCTTTACGTAAAAACACTCCAAAAACAGTATTTCCAACTTACTGACAGTCAAATTCACAAAACAGGTTTTGGCAAAAAAGGAGCTGAGATGAGAGAAAAGAGAGAAGAGGCTAGTAGTAAGGACAATAAAAGAGAAGGGAAGCAAGAGGAGATGAGAGGAGAAGAAAAGTGTATGGGGGACAGGAGGGCGGTGTGAGTTCACCTCTCTGTTGACCTGTCTCCTTTGAAGTGATTACCGACTGGCTGGGGACTTTCAGAGCAGGACAATGAACATCACACGCAAGGCCACATACCTTTAGGCCTGTGTCATGATGCGGTGATGTCGTGCGTCTAGACCTACACACTCATACAAACTCATACACAGACACTGAGCAGATGTGCAAGTATGTAGACATGCACACACGGACATGCAGGTGGCTACTTGGGCATGCAGGTACGCACATACCGGGGCATGACATCCCTAATGACTACCTGCCCCGTCTTCAGACACTGGGGTTAGTGTGTCTAGGTGGGTATTGTTGGGGTAGGATTGAAGGAGGATTGAAAAATGGTCCCCTGGAACGGTGGCGGGGCCTTTTCAAAATCCCATGATTTTGATTGACAGCACCGGGCTCCTGAGAGGAAACTTGAATGCTTGAATTTCTGTGGGAAACACAAAGGCCATCAGGAAAGGAATGGCTTCACAGACGTAGACATAGACAGGTCTGGCTCCAGATAGATAGCCAGACAGGTATCCTGACAGCCAAACGGTAGTTATGTAATATAAGTTGAAAGTGTGTTCACTTTTGGGAAAATCTGCTGAAGGAGAATCATCAGTGCAAAATTGGCACAATTACTTTTGTTTGATGTTCGATGGCAGGATCTAACAAAACATCTTAACAATTAAAAAAAAAATTTATAGGGATTATTTTGAAATAAAAGAAGTTGCATGTTCCCAAGTCCCTTTGTGTGTATTCACATATATTTTGTGTTGAAGAAAGTATGCAAACAGTTGGAAAAAAAATTTAGAAAATGATTTTGGTTTGCATTTTATGAGGTCCAGGCTGGTCCTTTCACCAAGCTCCAAATTGAGTATATGATTATGTGTGTGTGTGGCCTTGCTACACACAGACTACTGTAGACTATTAACTGTGTCTGTAACTTTGAGGAAATTGTGTGTGTGTGTGTGTGTGTGTGTGTGTGTGTGTGTGTGTGTGTGTGTGTGTGTGTGTCTTGCCTAGAGGCTGGGTAGGGGGCCAAGTTTCATTGTGCTCTGTTGTGATTATTTTGTTTATTTTTATCCAGCTCTGGGTTGTAATTGAGGTCTGCGTAAACTTTTGGTTGGTTTGTTTTATACTCTGCCCTTTTTTCCTATTCTGGGAAGCAGTTTCTCTTTCTTCATCCTCTCTCTACCCCTTCTTCCTCTCTCTCTTGTTGCTACTCTGATGTCCCCGCACTCCACATCAATAGATTTCATTAGCGTCTGGGGAATCTTGCAGGGTCGGACGCATGCAGCAGGAAGCCACACTTCATGTGGACTCTGTGTGGAAGTGGTATATGTATATGCGTGCGTGTGTGTGTGATTGTGTGTGTGTGTGTGTGTGTGTGTGTGTGTGTGTGTGTGTGTGTGTGTGTGTGTGTGTGTGTGTGTGTGTGTGTGTGTGTGAGGAGGGGTACCACAGCAGTCTTTTTTTCTAATCATCTCGTCGTTTCCTAATGATAGGTCTGGTACCACAGCTACTGGGTGTGGCGCCCGAGAAAGCCATAAAGCTTACAGTAAGTCACTGCGTTAGACACATGCACGTTCACACAGAGATCCATGAGGTTTTTCTATCCTTTTAATTTCTCAAATGGATTTTATATAATGTGATACAACACACATAACACGCTTAGATGGAAATGATGACCTACAGTTACATACAGTCACCTGTAGTTACATTGTGAGCACCCTTCCAGTGTACCTGCATCTGGGACCTGTCTATCAGGCATCTTTGTGAAAAGGATTAAAGCATTTAACATTGAGGTACGCAGTGGTGTCAATATTGTTGTCATTATAACATATATCTAATGGTTAATGCTTGTTAACACCACTTAGTTATAATGTCCACTGATAAATAAAATCAATGGTGTCTTTCAGTGCAAACCAAATTACATTAGAAGCGAGATGTAGGATTAACATTTGTGCACTGGATTTTCTACATCTCAGGTTGTACATAAAATACTGTATATAGTGTATTAACTATATTTATACTATGCTGAACCAGCTTTAGTAGCTTTGTATGAAACTATAACTTTGTGTTTCCAGGTGAATGACTTTGTGCGAGGAAAGACCAGACAGAAAGATGGCACAGTCCCTCTGGGTGCTGAGATCCTGGCTGGTGGATGTGTAAGTGTCAAATCAGCTGTAAACATTTGTTACATTTTCTAATGAGACTTTATTGGCTTATTTGCAGAGCTCGTCTTTCATCGACAACTAGGACAGGTCGACATGGCCAAAAATATTAATGTTAATTATAGAAGTTTTAATATCAGTCGAAAACCAGTTGATATTGGTTTTAAACTACTCTTCATGCCCAGTACCTGACAAACAGTGGAACATTTCTCAAATCTGAGGTAGAAAATTTAAAGCAATTATAATAATAAAATAAAATCTAACCTAACTTACTCACCTTTCTAAAACCTAATTTGTCCAATATTCCTGCGATGTGATAGGCAGTTCATTATTAATTTCTGTGCATGCAATCTTAAGAATGAAAATTAATTATATTGAATATTTATCAACCATTTGTTTTATTTAATTGAAGAAAATTATATTGCGATAATTTTCATTTCATTGCCCAGCCCCATTCACAACCTAGACAGAATTTAAACCAATGGACCATTTGGTGTTAGATACAGGAGCTTTTTACAGCCTGAGGCCTCAAAAGACACAGCAATCTAAACATTTAGCCAAGACCCTATGTAAGAAAATATTATAAGCAGACGTCCCTCTCAGAGACAGTTCCAAAAGAGTGACCACAATGGTAATAAACCATTTAGATTTTCTGTTATCCTAACTATTTTACCCTTTTTAAAGTTTTGACTTTCATAGTAGAGCTATAATTATAACATCAACTGTCGAGTCCAGTCCAATCAAATACAGATGTGCGATATCATATCATTCATATTAATACTGCCAGATTTTTTAAAGTGATCAAAAATTGTCATATCATGGTGTTGACATATTTATGTCATGGCTGCATAGAGCAGCAGAAAGCTCGGCTGAAAACAACAGTAAAGCTGCTGCCTGCTCTGCTGTTAAGAAGTTCATTAGAACAGTAAGGAAGTGGTTTGGTGATAAGATGTAAGATCTACAACAAAGCACGGTACTTCAGTATGTGCTCTTTACATGTATGAAGCCTTAAACTGCAAAAAGGGGCAATACAACAAAGTCATTTAACCATCTCAAGCAGTAATCTCAACAAACTGCACAGCTGAGTCACTGTAGCTGTTTAACAATAAATCATAATAAAGTAATAGGACTGGTTTATGGAGAGCCACTGCTTTCCAAGCAACATTTTGTTTTCACAACTAAAGAGTGGGTATAGGAATGATTGAATCACACCTCTTGTTCAGATTCCCTCTGAGAACTTCTCCGAGTTCTTTGACAGTGTGAATATGTCCCAATATATTCAGCATGTTTACAACAGCGTGCCAGTATTTGGCTCCAATACAGTCAACATTACATATTTCAGTATCCCACCTTTTTTTCTTTCTCCTTTAAAAATCCAAACATGGAGAGCCTCTCTCTCCCTCTTCATCATCGTGGCTCTTCAAAGTGCACTGTGCAGAAATGATGCTGTGCACTACATAGACAGTGTGTACAGTACCAAGGCAGCATACATCTCTTAACTATGTTTACCTGTTTTCTGAGTGCCGCCCTTCTGACAGTTGAGCAGACAGACACTGACCTGTTTGGAGGCCAGCAGTCGCTGCTTGTTGATGGAACGTGTAGAGATCACACATGAAAGAGCAAACGCACATGCTGTACATTGCACTCGTAAGAGTGTGTGCATGTATGACAAACAGAAGAGCACACAGGTGCACACACACACACACACGCACACGCACACGCGTGTGTACACTTACAAGGAGGAGACGAAGATTGACAGCAGCTGCTACCTGAGACCCCCTCCCCCCTCCAGTCTGTTACCTGCTCCCCTCCCATCATAGGTTTTGATCACTGAGCTGTCACAGTCCAACCACAATCCATGTATGCACACATGCACACACACACACACAAACACACACACACACACACACACACACACAGTGAGTCCTCCAAGGCCGAGCAAATGAAAGAAGGTCTTTCACTCAAGCCCCTTTTGATGCTGATCACTAAAGCAAAGTATTTCAGGATACACAAGTCATTATGGGTTTAGCTCCACTCAGGCACATTCAATTGACCTTATTTGTTCTTGGAATACGTTTAAGAAATGTTTTCACATGGTACATTTGCTGTAATTTAAATTTTGGATGGCGATTTTGTTTTTTGAAAGAGACAGAAATAAAACAGTACAGTAACTCTAGGAAAGCAAATATACTAAAGAAGTGTTCTCCACTGTACTGGGTGTGAAAAGTAGTGGTTGCCTTTTTTTTATACAACCCATATGGATTCAGAAGCAGAACCATAACAGAGGCAGAGGGAGAGGATAAATGTAGTGGAGAGGAGTGTGGATGGATGGATTTTTCCTCTTTTCCTCCGTGAGCCGTCGTGACAGCTCCTTTCATCCTGGCTGAGGCCCCGGTGTTAGTGCTGGCACTGCACTCTGCCTGCCACTTTATCTCACACACACACACACACAAGCACACACACACTGACACACTCACACATAGAAGTCGAACCCTCCTGAACCCTGTTTTAGTGAGGCTCCAGCCACAGCACATGAAATCTGTTTATATCATTTGGTAGCTGTGAAAGTGTTGGTTTGGACCACAGTGTCGGCCTCAGATCCACAGTCTATAAAGCAAAAGAAAGAGAAAGAACAGGGGACTAGTAATGTTTTATGTTCACTTTCTGTGTAGTAAATTTATCTCAACACAACTTCTTTATCTCCTCTAATGTGCTGTTTTGCCTCATACCTTTCTTTGCTGTCCTTGTTTTTTCTTCTTCTTCTTATTGCTTATCTTTTTTTATCACCTTTCACTCTTCTCTGCCCTCTTAAATACGCTCTTCTTCTCACCTACACTTCCCTGTCCTCATCTCCTCCTCCTCCTCCTCCTGCTCCCTCCTCTTTCCCCTCTCTAAACCTGTGGCTCAGCACCATTAAGCTCCAGTGCGGGTTGCCAGTTTCTAATGATTATTTGGTAAGAATGGCATGCTCCGTTGACTGAGCTGGCTGGATGCTTATCTGGCAGTTACTGGCCTGCATTTCAGGACTTAAGTTACACAAAATGCTTACTGGGTCATTGCTGAGAGGAAGAGTGGGGGTAAGACTCTGAGTCCAAATACACCAATACTTTGTTCATTTTCATTGTAAATGTATCACAGGTTTGCATGGTTGGTTTAAGTCTTTGTAATGGGTTTCTTATTCAAGCCTGACATGAATTATGAAAACATTATCGGTGAATCTAAGACACACACACGGACCTGCACATAAAGCATGAAGGCTGTTAGGTCCAAATGAAAGTGTGATTGTTATTTATGGATGGTGGGTAATGTGTTTAGCTGGTGCTAATCTCTTGTATGGCCTTAAGTGAGTGGTGAGAGGGAGGGAGGAGGGGGGGGGGGGGGGGGGGGGGGGGGGGGGGGGGGTTCCTCAAACTTTACTAAGCTCTTTTTGCAGTACACACACACACATAGCCAGGAGCTGTGATGCGTGCATAAGGTGCTGACGTCCCAGGTTTCTAAGGATCACCTTGCCTTGTAATTACCTGGGAATCATCAGAGAGCCGCCGACGCTGTCACTCCATAATCACAACCCTCAACCTCGCTGCCTCAACCTCGACCTTCCTTCACTTCTCTTGTTTTGACTACTGCTCTCTCTGTTTCTTTCTTACTATCCTTCTCTCTCTCATTAGCTCTCTCTGTTTATTTGTCTGATTCTCTCTTTTCTAATCATCTCCCTCTCTGTCCTCGAGGTTCAAAGGTTTTTCCAGAATTATTTGATAGAAATGTGGGATTGGAAAAAAGAGCTCTGTACTGTCATTCTTTTTATCTCATGTTGTCAGGTATAATTGTCAGCTCATCTCTCTGAACAATGTTGTTGTTTACCCTCCTTGAGTAAACAACATCTCCATCTCCAGTCTCATTAGAATCCAATTGAAGCAGCCAACCCTGCTATGGGCTAGAGCCAATAGCCTCTTAATGCTCGTGCTATTAGCCAGCATGTAATCAACTAGGTTATTTCCATAAAACAAGTCATAAAGAGTTAGCTGTGAGATGTAGCGGCTTTGGAGCAGCAGCCCTCCTGCTATTCACAGCCTCTCGTTTGGTCTGGAAGGGAGGCTGTAGCCCACTACACTCAGCTGGAAAAAAAAAGCTGCTGCACACACCTTCAATGAGACGATTATGATCTCTGTCTCTCCCTCCTCCCTCTCTTCTCTTAGGCAATATATGGCAACACTTAAAACTGAGGGACTTTTAGCAAAAAAGAACTGCCCATGTTGCAGATTGGAGCTTGATGCCTTCCCGTAAGGCAAGCGGCGACAAGAACAATCCATCATTCATAACGAAGCAAATGAAGTAGGGGGAGAAAAGGAGAGAAACAACAACAAACAGACCAGGCCTATTTAAGACAGAAATGGCGCCATGGCAACCGATTGCTATCTAATTGCGATGTGCCGCCCTTTTGCTTGTAGCTACAGTAACCATGGGCAACTGCAGCGAGAGAGACACAGTATTAGAGAAGATGAGGGGGATAGTTTGAGAGGAAGTCAGAGACAGAGAGAGGGACAATGATTAAACAACATTAAGTCAGGAGAAGTCAATTTTCCAAATAAAAATCTCCAAACATTTCTCAGTATCTAGAAGCATCATGTCATCCTCCCTGACTAGATACAGCTAACCATTTGTCTTGCCACAACTCTACCACAGCAGCTACCTCTAATACTTAAAAGCCCTGCCGACCTGAAAGGCAGAGGAACCAGTCTGAACTTGCTGCAGTATTGTTGCCCTCCCTTCACAAGTACAGGTTTGCAGAAGAGCGCAAAGTGAGAGGTTAGAGAGTAAAAGAGAAGTCAGAGTCCCCGCAGGGTCTGTGTGATGAAGACAAACAGCTGACAGACCCAACTGCATCAGTTGGACTTCCCGGCACTCTCCTGTACTTTCCTCCTCTTCACGCGGTTGTTTTGCAGCTGGTTGCTGAGGCGGCACTATTGTTAAGTTACATCACTTGCTGCGTGTACAAGCAAGATAACAGAAACATTTTTTTCTCTTGATTGTGTCATAATGTTTTTTGTGTGCCATGTTGAAATGTTGAAATGAACACCTGTCTTGAGTGGAACACACAAAATCTCACATTAATCATTGTCGTAACTGACATTTAAATTGAGTTTAATTTGCAGCAGCATATCACTATATCAGTACCTAATCCTTTTCTATTTTCTTGAAGTTCACTCTGTTGATTTCTTTTTTTCACTGTGTTCCTTCAGGCTGGCGGCTCCCAGGTGATCTTCACCAACCCTCTGGAGATAGTAAAGATTCGTCTGCAGGTGGCTGGAGAGATCACCACAGGGCCGAGGGTCAGCGCCCTGTCCGTCATCAGGGACCTCGGCTTTTTCGGACTTTACAAGGTGGGAAACAATGATGAGGTCAGAGGTGCAAGATCATCACACAAAATGCAAGTGGACACTAAAGGCTCATGTGCGGCGGATGCAGTTCACATGCATTTTCTGTGGAGCTGTTTGGCTCGATGTGTGATCCCATGTTTGATCCACATATTGCACCTTAACAAAAATGCCTTTTCTCATGACTCTGTTGCAGTATTAGAACAAGTGTGGTGTATCTTGTTAGATCAGATTGCGCAGAATACAGAGTTTTAACATATAAACGTATAAATGCAATGTTTATATGTTTATATATTAATAAGCACATGCAGAATTAGAGAGAGAATCATCCAACTTCTCTTTTGAAATATAAACAGATTTTTTCCCACAAGAAAGTAGGATTCAGCAGTTAATTTTACAAAATTTTCCTTTACAAAATTTATTTTCTAACCTGGTGTTTTCTGCCATGCTTGAGATTTTTTTGCTCAGGTCCTTTTAGGATTAGAGAGTAGAGTTACATAACAAGAGAATTCTGAGATGCACAAATGTACTTTCCTACTTTTTTTTTCCACAGTAAAATTATAACTGTCGGGTTGCTGTGGTGGCCAAGGGATTAAGGCGCTGAACTAGGGACTCCATGTCCCTAACTGGGGACCATATTGCATGTCTCTACCGTCATTTCCTGTCATCTCTTTACTGTCACTGTCTTATAAAGGAATAAAGTGCCTAAAAAATGTTAGTAAAGTTGTCAGACCCAGCAATTCAAGTATCCAACTGGACACAGTGGAGGTCACTGTTCAATTTAGTTGAACTTTGACCTAATATGAAATCACTGTAGTGTGTGCTGCTATGGGTCACGCAGCTTCCTGGGAGAGCACTCTCCCCATTACTCTCTCCATTGGAAATAATGGCCTAGCTATGCGCTAGCTTGAACTTGCGCTATTGGTGTGATAGTGATATGTGTGTATTTTTCACAGTGTTAAATATTGCAATTGCAAACTAATTGAAACCTTAGAAATCAGGTCAGGGGGGCATTTGGGGGTTCTATAAAATAAAATGCTCTGATGTCTTAAAAAAATGGTTTCAAATACATTGGTTTAAACTGATGAGTGTTGCAACAGAACAGCAGCCTGTTGGTTTCATGTCAGTCAACACAAACCCACTTTTTCATTTGTCTCTGTCCCCTCTGATTTGTCAGCATGAAGCTCATTAATTCCTTTCCCAGAAAAGATAATGGGAGATGCAGTGTTTAAAATGTTCACTTAGAGACAAGTCATGCCACTGAAGCAGTTAAAAGATCAGATCACAGTAACATATCAGTCAAAGGATACTGGACATTGACTACTTGACTAATTTAATGATAGAGGACTTGGAGAGAAGACATCACTGTATTCAGGAGATTTCCAATTTTTAAATTGAAAATCACATTTATCATTAAATGAAAGGTACACCCTTGGAAGAAGCCCAGAGCTGTATTTTATGTAACGCTAAATTCAAGTTAAATTATTTGGCAAATCATTGCCAGATGTCCAGTATCCATTCTCACAACTTCACAACAATCCATTATTTCTCATTACTGTTGTGTAAATCATACTGTATGTGATTCTTCTATTACCTATTGTACAATTATACATATTACGTTACCCCACATCAGCTATCATTTAAATCAACAATTCCATGTGGTCTTCTGTTCAAGAGCAAAAAAAAGCACAATTTATGTTAAAAGCTGTATTTAACCTTAATTGCCATAATTGGTATTTTTCAATGGCACAGGGACTAAAAATTACAGTGCACTGTTTGAACATATTAGTGTTGTATGATATTATGCACCAACGCATTGTAAAGTGTGAAAGATTACAGTGTCATTTTATGGGCTAATATAGCAATATTGTAGTGTTGGTGTGTTTTAAAGAATATTTCCCGTTTTTTTATTCTAACTTCCCCTATAAATATTATGACTCCTACGACAGTCTGTTTGTGCCAGTGAGGTGCACAGTTACACTGTTTTTTTTTGTTTTTTTTTTGTGATGGTACCACTTAGACAGAAGAGCTGTAGGAGTCAGTGAACGAGCTGTGGCTACCGCTAACATTAGCAGCTTAACTGGCTAGACAGGGACATTAGCCCTCAGGGTGAAACAGAGCATGTCTAATTAAATTACATAAATAAATCCTAATGGAGCTTGGCAGGAGAGATTCTGCCTCGACTGTAAACACAATCAACTGTGAAAATGTCAATCTCATACCTGGGGTTGGATTAATTTGCCTCATTTTATTTAAGTAAAACGATGGCACTTGTGTTGTCAAATTCTAAGTAGTAAACAGTTTTTCAATGAAGATCAAGCCTTCCTTAGACAGGACATACATTTTGACTGTCTGCTCATTATTTACTACACTGCTGACGTGACCACCGGTCAGCACAAGCAAATTCCATGTAAACCTTTTGGGTCTCTTAACAAGGCTGTAAAAAAACATGGTGCCTCCTCTTGTTTCTTTCTACCTGCCTACTGTTCCTGTGTTTGAGTGCTTGTGCGCTCACTCCTAGCAGTTTATGACTATGTTGGAGTGTCCATATAACTACAGTCTGAGAGAATGCTGCGTTACCCAAAAGAGTGTGTGTCAATGCGTGCATGCACACTTCATTGCATTCGTCTCCTGGTCCATGCATAAAGAGGAGACAAAGTGCATTGAGAAAGCAGTAGCGGTATTGGTGGTGGTGGTGGAGGGGAGGTGGGGAGGAGACGAGCTTCAGCCTGCAAGCCCCAGACGGGCTGGCTCCGGAGGGGCTGCACCCAGGCACAGAGCAGCCTTTGTCAGGGTAATTATCCTGACGCTCACCCTCCGCTGGTGGAGCTACCGGTTGGTAGGGTGGCTAACGCACTAGCGCCACCATTCATCACAGGGGGAAAGCTGTCATTGTAAGAATATTGATCCAGATGATGTTTAAAATATATGTAGTCATTGTATATAAGTCTGCTTATGCGTAGAAGTACATCAGAGGCATTTTGCCTGTTCTGAATTGCATTTCATCTTGGTGTAAAGCACTGTATATACACACTCTCACTCAGCTGCTGCTCTGCAAGTGCATTACCCAACCCAACACTAGTACCCTGATATTAAGGCTTCCAGTCCCAGTCCCTGTGACGCTGGTTGTCTGTCCTGCCTCGATAGAATCTCCCAGCTTTCAGCAGCCGCTCGGGCCCCAGTCAGTGAGCAGGAGGGACAGGCAGACAAGAAGTGCCAGAGGAAAGAGAGGGAAAGAGATAGCCCAGGTATCTGCCAATTCTCTCTCTCTCTCTGCCTGTGTGTGTGTGTGTAGGAACTAAAGGATTATCCCATAGGAGTTAAATGAAGCCTATCCAAAACAGGGAGACCCTGCCCAGCTCTTTAAACGCCTTCTGTTGACTGTAGTTGCTGTATCAAGACAGTGGCAGTGTGCCAACAGGCTTGAAATACAGCAGGAAACTCAATAGGCTTGATGATATAGTGTTGTTTACAGTGGCAGACAAGGAGCCATCTTCGTCAGCCAGTCTGTCTTTCTCTGCTTTTCCCACTATTTTTTTTTTTTCTTTTGTCAGCTTTGCTCTTGGAGCTGCCTCCCTCACCTGCTGCTGTGGACACAGATCGTTTGCATATGCAGAGACATGATTTCTCTGGCATGTTGTGGTCAATATTTCACTCCACCAAAAGAGATCCAGGAGTCTTTTGGAAGTCATTTCTTTGGCGGTGACATCAGTTGATTCTTGAATATCTGCTTTGTGAACAGACAGTTGATATTTCATATTGTGGCTGGAAAAAAAAAAAAAACACAATCCATCTTCCAAGCCCAGAGCAAGAAGTCAAGGTTTGAATCCCCTGAGCCCCATCACTCTTTCTCTGCTCCCCTTTCTGTTTATACTTGTCTTTGTTTTCTCTTTATGAGAGTTTGACTCTAAACCCAATATTATGACCTAAAATACCTCTTTCTCCTCCTCTCTAACTCTCTTTCTTCAGGGATCCAAGGCTTGTTTTCTGCGGGACATCCCCTTCTCAGCCATTTACTTTCCCTGCTATGCTCACACCAAGGCTTACCTAACTGAGGAGGACGGGAGGATAGGGCCAGCCAAGATGCTGTTTGCTGGAGCTCTGGCAGGTAAAGTCCTTCTTACTAAACCATCGTTACTGCCCTTAAACTCAAGCAGACAGGGGCAGGAACTGTTACCCACACTGTCCTTGAAAAACAGTCAAAATCAAAAGCATCTATGTGTGCCTTTTGTGCAGCATGATTTAGAAAGAAATTTATGGATTTGTCAGATTAGGACAATAATTTTTCATTCTGGGGTGAGGAAATAGAGTTGCACCTATTTGAAAAGTACTGACCGTGTTAGATGGATCAGGTATTGTCCAGATGTGACTGATCCAAATGAAATACAATTACTTTATCAATGTCACTATAGAATTTAGTGTTTTTACTATCAGTTACATCCATTACTCAGTTTTTAGCAACACAACAATCCCTGTCCTCAGGTTACATTTCAAAAAAATTATGTCTACAGTGTGAGAAGAGATTTTAGATCTGGGGAAAAGAGAGATTGTTATTCAGTATCAGGAGAGAAAAAGATTATCAATAGAGAAATGAAAAATTATAAAGTTTATAAACAGGTATTTTAAAGGCTGCATTTTTCTTAAGAAGGTATTTCTTTAAATAAATTATTACAATATTGTAATTGTTGGCAGACTGTATCTATATATAAACCCATGTTGTATTTTAATAACGTAACCATGTAGAGTGTGCCTGTGACTTTCTAATGAAAATACAGTATTCTGTAAAATATCTGATTGTCCGTTGTCTAGAAAAGTCAACTTCAGTCCCTGACACAATGTGCACAACCCTGAAGTTTAGGAAATAAAATCTTTGGTGTGCTCCAGTTTTGAACAAAGAGTGCGAGCAGGTCTCACTCTGCTTTCTCCTCAGACTTTCACGAGCCTGCAGTAACAGTAGCAGAGCTCAAAGTATGGAAGCCAGGCAGCCTCTGACCGCAGGCTCCATGGCGGTAGCTGCTAATTAGAGCGCTGCTCAGTGATTGGGGACTGGGGTTTTGGAGCTCTGCTGCAGGGAAGCGCCTCACATGCCTGCCAACCAGGCTTTCCAATCCCAATATATTGTACATGCACATACACATGTATGCGAGAAAGCACACACTGTTGCACAAACATGCTTGTGCATACTTTATACATGTTCACGCTGCAGGAATGTACACAGCCCTGTATATGCATTAGTTTGGCCACAGACATGAGCAAAGAGACCAGAAGAACCAAAACATCCACTGATGACTTAACAACTTTATCATCTCCCTGAAAATATGATCTATTAAAAGCAGACTTTTAATATTGGATTTATCCTAAAGAAAACACTAATAACAGCCCAGCACTCTCCTGCCAAGTTAAAAAGCTTTAGAGCATTTGCATAAAAGACTTAATATTTGTTTTGAATCCTCAGAGATGTGTCAGCAGCACTCTCTTTTTGACGCAGAGGCACGGCACAACACGGAAAAATCATAAATCCACCCTCCCTCCTCCATTTTTACTCTGGTTTCTCACCACAAGACTGGCAGCCATGGCCCACAGACTCCGAGCTGAAACGAGCCTCATGATTTCTTTATTTTTTTCGTTACGTCGACACATTTATCATCCCGCTTTCACATATATTTATCAGCGGTTGCAGCATTCTGGCAATTAGTGTTTTACAGTCAGCACAGGAAATTGAATTACACGCTCAGTTTGTACAGCATTATTTAGCCAGGCATTAGTCTGCTCTGTGAAGAACATAGTGTTGGCCATCTCTAACTGACATTAACTCTGTATGTGAGAGAGAGTTTTGGTCTTATTGGCTGTGGGGTGAAAGGAGTATCCTGACAACTACTGTCCAGACTGCCATGAAATTTGGAATGAATATTAATGAGAATGAGCACACACGTCAAGTCAAATGTTTTCACTTTTGTCTCATGACAGGGTAAAGTAATATTATCATTCTAGTCATGCAGAGGTGAAACAGTTGATTTGTCAACTGACAGAAAATTAATCTGCAACTATTATGATAATCATTTAATCGTTTGAGTCACTTTTCATTCAAACATTTGCTGCTTCTGGCTTCTTAAAAGTGAGTGTTTTCTGCTTTTCTCCGTTTTCTACAAATGTTAAAAGTGTCCAGTGGGCTTTTTGACCACTAATAATAGTGCTATGGAACAATGTACACGGTGGCACAATTCAGTACGCGATGGCACAGTTCACATTAAGCTGTTCCACCGATCCCCAGGTTGTCGGTGCGTTGCCACGTTACAACACACAGACAAAGATGAGGAAGACTGCTAGCAAGCAAACATGGGTGTGAGAAATGCATGATTTTAAATATTTTTTTTCAAATGGGCTGTAAATGTTTTATGAGGAAGGAGATGCATTCAGCACTTTTGTTAAGATCTCAAGGATAAACATGATGGTTTTTGGTGAGAAATACTGAATCTAAACATTATTTTTGTTTGTGTACAAAACCTACACATAGCAGCTTTAACTACAGACTGTTTTATGGACAAAATTTCTGAAGACACCAAGACCTGTGGGAAATTGTGATGGGCGTTTTTCACATATTTTGACAATTTGTTTGTTTGGACCTGGTAATATTGTCATCTTGATTTTCCATAATGTAATTTTGCTACTTTATACACAGTAACTATTGCATCTTTGTCTATTCTGGAGGAGGAATCATTCCTCTGTGCTCTTCCTGAGGGTTCTTCCACTTTTTACCTGTTAAAGGGTTTTTTTTTTTTGGGAGGTTTTCTTTATCAGAACTGATGGTTAATGATAGAAGCTGCCACAAAGGCTACTGTACAGATTGTAAAGCATGTTGAGGCAAATTTATAAGGCTATAAAAATCAATAGATTAAGAGGTTTAATCTGTTATGAAAATAATAGTTTCAGCCCTATGATCATACTGTATATTCATCTCAGATGAAATGTTAAATAATTGATATTTGAGGATATAGTATCAATAGAATGTCCTTATACCAAATTAAAAAGAATTGGTATCAAATGATAAACCACTGTGCCATTATTCTGCAGTTCAAAACTGCAATTGTTAATATTTGCATTTGCAGGGTCAGAGTTACTACATTAGCTATACTTCAAACCCTCCCCTCTCCTCTCCTCAGTTCAGTGCAGGTGGTCAGTCTCCACCGGTTGCTAGTCTGCTACCTAATGCTGAGTTGATCAGGCTTGCTGAATAGCTCGTTTGGCCGTTACAAAAACCAAGAAGTCAGACTAAATCGTCAAGAGGGCAGTTGATGGTAATGACCGAGCCATCAATGATTGAGCCCATTCATGGCTGAAGTGGCTGGAGTGGGGACTTTGCAGTCACTCCCTTCAGTCAGCTAGTCACTTTCAGCGGCACACGGGGCACAGTGTGCATTGCTGTCATTACCGTCCATTGTCTGGCCCCTTTCAAATGCCTGTAAGAAAAGTGGGAGAGAGAGGAAAGGAAGAAAAAAGGTAGAGATTAAATAATGGCCTCGCTGGTGGTATGGATTGGTCGATGTCGAAGTGATAGGAACTGGCCCCTACTTGTGTATAGTGTACGTATGCGGCAGACTTGCTGCAAGATGGTCAAGATCCAAGATGACGTGTTTTAAAAGAGGGAACAAAGAGCGCTGAAACCACTCTATCAGATGCAGTTACGATGATATGCAAGATTTCAGTCAGTCACTGATGGCTGCTTTCTGCAAATCAGCTCATGTTTGGGGGTGATTTTAAATATGTGCTCTATTTAGAATCAAACACATCCAACATCACGCAAGTCTGAACAGCTTTTGCATTTCTGTGTCCAGGCATGCCAGCAGCCTCTCTGGTGACCCCAGCAGATGTGATCAAGACCAGGCTACAGGTGGCGGCACGCGCCGGTCAGACCACCTACAGTGGCCTGGTGGACTGCTTCTGGAAGATCCTCAGAGAAGAGGGGCCCCGCGCTTTCTGGAAAGGAGCTGGAGGTACATTCATGAAATAAAACATCTAATGACATAAAAAAGGGCTGTGAATATAATTTCAAACCCATTTTTTCCAACCCCCACACTTCTACAGTTAGAAGTTTGATTTTATAAAAATCTCTGAGCTTTTCAGTCCGGCTGCCATAAACAAGATGAGAGAAGCTCATAAAGCTGGACAAAAATGTAGATATGCTCATGTGAGTCGCCTTCAGTTATTACCCTTACTCACAAAAATACACTTTACAAGCAGCAGCAACAGCTCTGCAACCTTTTTGTGCCTGGGTTTTGCCTCGCAGGCTACATACAGGTTGACCTGACGTACTGGTGGAGCTTGTGAGGCCGTATACAACCTGAGAAAAGGAAAAGGGCTGTAAAAAGGACTTGCATCACCTCCTCATGCTTTTGTGGGGATAAAAGGATTTAATCTGTATTTCTGTTTATGGATAATATTCTCGGTGCTAGAATTGAACAGATAAAGCAGCAAAGGACTGTGCTCTTTGTTTTTACATATTTACAACATATTATAATGTAATTCGAATGTAGGGCATTAATAATATGTTTGTACGGACTTGTTACATGTACAAACTTTACACTGGACAGTTTGTCAGTGTGGAAGAAGGAAAGCTGATTTGTTCCAAGTACTGTCTAAGTGATGTTTTTACTGGGAACCAGGCAACATTCTGTTTAGGAAGATAAAAACAAAACTTTATTTTGTAAACATGAATGATCGCTTAAGAGTGAGTTGGCTGTTTACAGACTAAACATTTAAATTAGCCAGAAAATCTGGCAGATAAAGAAAAGGCCATTTATCAGGATAAAGTTTAAGCTTGTAGCTTTTCTGTTCTGTCCTCTGCCGTTCACTTTGCTTTTTTTTTATTCTTCACATGAATATATGTCATTTGAAAATATATTTAAGTTTTATAGACATACATGTAATGTTGCACCTAACCTTTTATTTTATTTTGGTTTTATATGTGCTACTGTAAGATACGTTTTTCGATGTTCATTAAATAGTGATGTTTTGTCATCCCATGTAAGATGGCCCAAAAGTTTGGCATCACATGGAAATTAAAAGAAACTATACTGCATTTAGATTTTTTTGTTATACTACCATTATTATTATATTATGATAATTTAATCATAATTTATTATTTGCTTGATTGATTTAAATGTATATAAATGCAAGAAATAGACTTAATTGTGCCCAAACCTAAGCCCTTGATTATACACTTGTGTGTCTATGAATTTGAGTAAACTCATTTCTACTCCCTCCTGCAGCTCGAGTGTTTCGGTCCTCGCCTCAATTCGGAGTGACTCTTGTGACCTATGAACTCCTGCAGCGCTGGTTCTATGTCGACTTTGGAGGACAGTAAGTCTCAATCTGTTTTACTAACTACCTTCACTTGTTTCTGTCATTACAAAACTCTGAGCCGCACCAAAACGTCAATTCCCCTAATCTCCCAGTGAAACAATTTAAAGCAGACATTTCTTTTTTCCTTTTTTTTTTTTATTTTTTTGAAGACAGTACTACATCTCGTTCATCCCATTCTCAAACACCACCCCCCCTTGAACAGTCAGCTTGATTTCAGTGTACAGTAGCTGCTCCTGGTGTGTGTCCTTCCTCCCCTGCAAGAGAAAAAGAAAAGCCACAAGACCAAAAATAATTTCCGTGCACATAAGTTGACAGACTGAAGCCCTTGCTCAAAGCTCGGGATGTGACAATTTTGTCAAACTCCAGAGTTTTACAGCACTGTGATCAGGGCAGACAGACTTGTACACGTACTCTCCCCCACTACTGGGACTGAAACGAGCTCATTCTCCTCGTCCAAATAGGTCACTCTCAGGAATAATTCTCTAGTTCTCTGATGTTTAAAAGGTCCGGTGGGGAACAGAGGCAGTGAACCTCTCAGAAATGACTAAAAAAATTCTTCTTTTAATGGACAGCTGAGACTGTGTTGCACACGCATGTATTGGCTGGATGGCTCATTACTTTTATATGAAGCTGCCTTTCTCCCAAAGGCTCACAGTGAAACAAAATCAACTGCAGATCCAGTGAACAGTCAGTGCGGTTTGGAGTGAGTTCATCTGTATTTCTTTGCTGTCCGTGACGTGTTGGCAGCGAATCACAGAGCTCGGTGTGAAATCAGTGAGGGATTTGGTTCAGTTCTGTTTAAAGGGAGAAATTTTTAATTGTTCCACCTTTGATTTTCTATCAAGATTTTTTATTTCTGTGGTGAAACTGTGTTTACTATGATAATATTAATTTAAGATTTAATAATAATGATAATAAAACTCCTGTCTGTGAACACTCACTTTCTGCCCTGTTTGGTTAAAATAACATCTTGCACCATGTTTATGTTGTTTAACAGTTTTGCCTTTTACTCCACCTTTTTGCATTGCATTTTTCCTCCTCCTGTTTCACTGTGCCTCTGGCTTCGTCCTCCGTCTGTCTCTCTCGCTCTCTCCACACCACAGAAAGCCGGCTGGCTCGGAGCCCACCCCCAAGTCTCGGATCAGCCTGCCGGCGCCCAACCCCGACCACATCGGAGGCTTCAGGTTGGCCGTGGCCACGTTCGCTGGCATCGAGAGCAAGTTTGGTCTCCATCTCCCACGCTACACGGTGGCGACAGCAGCACCAGCCCCTGCAAACACCCCCTGAATCAATCCACAGGTGGGGGCGGGGGTAAGTGAAGTGAAAGAGAGGGCTTGAATGTTTTTCGTACAAAAGTCATTGTTTGTAGTATTTTAAGTTACTTATTTAAAGTTATTTATTTTCTCTTGAATAAATAAATAAATATATACATATATATATATATATATATATATATATAGTAGTGTATATGCAGCTACATTAATTGGTGAACCGATAAGCATGGGTTACTCAAAGAAAACTCTTTGTAGAACTTGTGCAGCATTTGTTTCACCTTTGACTGACATTGTTATAGAGTTGTATTAAAATGCGGTTTTGTTTTTCATACAGTTTAGCTGGTACAGTATATGCACACAGGCAGTAGAAGGGCTGGCAGATGTTGAAATATACCTTAACTGCTTTGGAAAATAGCATCAATAACTACATACAGCTGCAGCTCTTTCCAGTGTCTTCCTATTGTTGCTATATAATCAAAAGCACATTCCTCATATGATCATATAGCTGGCTGAAGAAGGATTTATTGATTATAAATGTGGCAGTTCTGTATATATGAGATATCCAGAGACATATTTTCATATCTATACGGCTGTTTTGATCCTGAGTTGCTCATTTGATCAAATGTATCCACAAGAACATGACCAAAAAGTACTTGAATGTAAAGACACAGTGTAACATTCTGACTGTACACGATGTTTACTGTTGTAAGATGTTTGGTTTCAGATCTAAATGTATGCAGATGTGTAAATATCTGAAAGAGAGAGCTGGCACCCACTGCAGTTCTGTAGTGTGTCATGACTGAGTATTTAAAATTGTACAGTGCAGAGAATGTAGGAGTCACAGATGGTGTGTAATAATTGTGCCTTACTGTACGTATGGCAGCAACATGTCTACTGAGAGTAAAGAGAAACTTATATTAGTAAACTGAACGTATGTCTGAGTTTTCATTCCCATTGTTTGAATGCACAGAAGAAAAGACAAGACATCAGTTCATCAGCTATGCTTTAATGGTAAACATAGCAGGTTTAACAGCAAGCACTCTGCATTACAATATACCTCTTGTTAGAATATACAGTTGTAGCTCTCGTTCAGGACAAAAGACAAAAGTGTCAAAACCACACTTGATTTCTGTTTCTGACACCCTGAAATACTGACATCGAGCAGCCACAAAGCCCCACGTGTGAAAACGTCACCACACTAACTCCATCTGGAATATTTCAGGAATGTGTTGCATGCAGGTTTAATACAGAGAAAAGAAGCACAACAGAAAGTGAACGTGACATTTTGTAAACAATACGTGACTACTCTATGGACCCTGCTTTATTTTCACGGTAGTGCAAAGCGTCGTTACAGTACACATATCTTCATAAGGCTGCCACTTTGTATATACTGTAGGCTCACGAGTTGCAAGCAACAAATCACCTTAATTCATTAAACGAATAAATAAGACAGGACAAATTAGTAGAAGTCAACAGTTTACCCATTAATAGACAGTTTGCATTTACAGGAGAGCAAATGCAAAAAGTACAATAAAAGTGTGGTCTTCTTTGGACCAGACAGGAACATGAACATGAAGGTGGAGAAACACAAATCTGAGTGAGAAGCACATGCTACAGTGACACCAATAAAAGCACACCAGGTCTCTGATTCACTCCACTTTGGTTTGGAGTCCTGTTCTATGAAGCCAGCTCCATAGGCCCCTCCTCCTCGCCATCCGCCCGGTTAGCACGGATCTCCATAAGCGTGCGGGCGAAGCGCGCCCAGTCATCAGTGTGAGCCACCGACAGCTGGAAGAAGCATAACAGAAACACAGGTACATGGCATTAAGCACTGGGTGGAAACATCTGCATGGTGGTGATGTCTGCACCACACCTGGATGTTTGCTTGTCACTGATTGTTAGGATACCAAAGAATCACCTCCTTCATTTTTACTCAAGACTATTTTATAAATAATGCCACAGGCTACAATTATGGGAAATCAATAAAAATAGAGCGACTTTAGCTCTGCATGAAATATCACTCTCACTCCCTCTATCTCATTTGCAGACCTGCCAACCTTGAAGAAAGACTTCAGTACTGCTGAACTGGTGAAACTCACCTGGCGCCATCAGCTTTTTGCATACTTGAGGGTGACAAATCACACCAGCGTACTGTTATGTCAAAATGTGTACCTGCTACAGGAAATGCATAAAGGTAGACAGGTCTGCGTTTGAGTGGGGACAGTACAGTGGTGCAGCAGGAATTCCAAATCGGGGTCGTCCGGCAAAAAAGTTGAACCACCCTCATTTTTTGCTGCAGCTCAAAGTGTTGTCCTCTGGCAATGTACTGTGTTAACCAATCAGATACATGCAAGCACACATTCCTGGTGGATTACTATTAGTAAAAACATTTACAATAGTTGCTGCTGTGACAATGTCCCAGAGATGTAAAATCCAATCACATCGTATCATAAACTGCTGTGCAGAGCGACATCAGAGGAGCCTTCAACTTCCCTGATCTGCATTGTTTTTAAGGCAAGGCTGATTTTGTTCTGAATGCCAGAACGCTGTCTTCAGCCGTGGTAGATGTGAGGCTCAACAATTGACCTTATCATCCCGACAGCCATGCTGCTAGCATACCAACTGCAGAGAGCATAGGGCTAATAAAGGACTTGTCAAACTGAATGTTGTTGCTCTTTAAGTGTGTAGCTACGGTCGTGCAATGTGGGAGTCAGAGTGAGTGGGACAGAAGCCACGGCCGCCACCCAAGCTGTCTGCAACCGCTTTGCATGGCCAGGCTGTAATTAAACAGGAACCAGGAGGAGGGAGGCAGCCATTTTGAACCCTCCAACCCCCCACAGAGCTGGGCTGGCCGCAGCAGGGGGCTCTGCCAGAACATCATCTATATGGTGCCTGAGTGACTTCGGCATTAGCAGCGTTTTAACAGCAGCTCGAATGTTAAAGAAACACTGTTGGATTCTCTGTTGTCAAAGCAGCAGGTCCAAAACATTTTCATGTCATGGAACTGTATCAGACCACTGACCCTGATCTGGACTTTCCATACAGAGCAACACCAGTAGAGGACTAATCAAAACAGCCCTAATCCCTGCTGATAAATGACCTAAAACTAATTTGTACTGAGTAAAGTAATACTGAAATAAAATAATTTGGTGTTTTGCTTTCCTGGAACTGTCTCAAGGTTTGCATTTGGTCTTAGGACCGCACTGCTCTGGATGGAATTGCTGGCATCTCTTTTTTTTTTTATTCATGCTGTTCCTAGTTTTAGCTCTATAGGGGGAGTTTCTAGTGAAATAAATACCCCCAGCACCACCACCACACACACACACTCCTCTTTGGAGTCATAAAACCTCTCAACCCCACTAACTTTTATTGATGACTCTTCGTTACCATCAACCCAGCATGGAGGCCACCAGCTCAGCTCAGCCTCTCTCCAACTTACCACACAACAAAAAAAAGAGGCTAAAATTAGCCAAGTGGCTAGGCTAACGCGCCCTCACATGGGGATCCTAACCAGAGCCCTCCAAACATGAGAGAACATACAGGCACAGGCAGAGTGGTTGGCCGCTTTGTGGTGATGGCAAAGTCATGTGGAGGCCATTTTACAGGGACACGAAAGAGGAGAAAAAAAAAATCAAACACATACATCCATCGCAATGCAGACAGTTGGGTAAACATACAGGGCTACAAGACCTAAAATGGTTGGTTGTGGTGCATGTGGAGGTTTTACTGTGAGAAAAATGCACTTATTTCTCCTCTTTTAGTGCCTGTCTTTCAACAAACCCAGTGGTCCAAAATGTACCAAATATACATGAAACACTAAAGTCTGAAAAAGCAGCAAATGCATATGTGTGTAAAATTTAGATTTAGTCACTATTACATGCGTAACTTCCCACCACATGACACTTTATTTTGGTGAAATCAGGAGAGAGGGATGTATTACTGATGTTTCATTTAGCAAGACCACATACTCAAATTTTGGGCACTAAAATCTCTCAATGTACTGTAAAACAACTTAATTGCAACAGTGCAATATATTTTGGTCTCTGTATTCCACTCATGCTTTTGGCACCTAGGGTGTAATTCATTTTTGATTGTTTGAAAACGAAGTCCGCGAGAACCAGGGGCTTTTTGCATCAGAGAACACTAAGTAAATCCAACAACAAGGAGCAGATTTTTTTTAATTTTTTAACCAAGGCAGGCTGCAAAAATATCAATGTTTTATGTGAGAAACATAAAATGTCACACTTATTGTTCTGTAACGATTAACCTGTACCTCAAACCAATGAGCGCTCACACTGCTCTTTTTTCTGGGTACCAAAAAAGAATCTGCTCACAGACATGGAGTATGTTTCTGCTTTACAGTACATGTACTATGCAATTCATCTATTTATGAAGTGCATAATTATTATCTTTACCTCTCCAGTGTCGTAGATCCACACTCTGCCCTCTGAGTCACCCACAGCCACTTCCTTCCCTCCTGAAGACCAGCGGACCCTGTTCAGGGCTGATGCACCCTCAATGGTCACGCTAGCAGTTGGTACCTGGTGGGCAATTAAACAGACCAACATAAATTAAATGCTACATAAAAATACAACAGATTTTTTTGTACACAATTCCACCTATACAGTTCATCACATTACATTACTGCAAATTGCGCGTTCATGTTATTTTGAAAACTGGGATGTTTATAATAAACAGCAGATTGAGATGAGAAGCCCTTCTCAGTCTTAGTCCTGCTTCATATTGATTTCCAGACGATTTATATGGAAGCAAAAAAAGGCCATAATAATTAATCAACAAAATTCTACCACACTGTACTATGACGTATTTTGACATTTTCATGCCTTACTATACTGTGACTTTTTTTAAAAAATTTTTTTTAGATATTATGGCTTACTATACTATGACGTTTTTATATCATTTTATAGCCTACTATACGATGATGTTTTTTGACGTCTTATGGCTTATGACATTTTTGGCCATTTTTATGCCTCACTATACTATGACGTTTTTTGACGTTTTTATGCCTTACTATATACTATGACATTTTTATGACATTTTATGACATACTATAGTATGATGTTTTTTGAAATTTTTTTACCTTACTATACTATGACATGTAATGATGTTTTTATGGCTTGCTATACTATGACATTTTTTGCCATTTTTATGCCTTACTATACTATGACGTTTAATGACATTTTATGGCTTACTATACTATGACGCTTTTTGACGTTTTTATATCTTACTATACTATGACGCTTTTATGCCATTTTTATGCCTTATTATACTATTACATTTTTTGCCATTTTTATGCCTTACTTTACTATGATGTTTTTTGCCATTTTTATGCCTTACTATACTATGACGTTTTTTTACATTTTCATGACTTATTATACTGGGATGTTTTTTTTTTAGATATTATGGCTTACTATACTATGATATTTTTATGGCTTACTAAACTATGACATTTTTTGCCATTTTTATGCCTTACTATATACTATGACATTTTTATGACATTTTATGACATACTATAGTATGATGTTTTTTTATATTTTTATGCCTTACTACACTGTGACGTTTCTTGACATTTTTATGCTTTACTATACAATGACATTTTTATGCCCTTACGATACGATGGCGTTTATTGACGTCTTTATGTATTACCATATTATGGTGTTTGTATGACATTTTTTGCGTTATTGTACTATGAAATTTTTTGATGTTTTAATGCCTTATTATGATCTGACGCTTTATGACATTTTATGCCTCACTATACTATGACGTTTTATTATATTTTATGCCTTAGTATACTATGACTTTTTTAAATGTTTTTATGCCTTACTATACTGTGACTTTTTTTGATGTTTTTATGCCTTACTATACTATAACATTTTTTGAGGTTTTTATGCCTTACTATACTATGGCTTTTAATGCCTTACTATACTATGCCGTTTTTATGACTTTTTATGCCTTACTATACTATGACTTTTTTGATGTTTTTATGCCTTACGATACTATGACTTTTTTTGGTGTTTTTATGCCTTACTATACTATGACGTTTTATGATATTTTATGCCTTACTATACTATAACTTTTTTTGAGGTTTTTATGCCTTACTATACTATGATGTTTTTTGAGGTTTTTATGCCTTACTATACTATAACATTTTTATGACTTTTAATGCCCTACTATACTATGACTTTTATATCCCTTACTATACTATGACCTTTTTATGACTTTTTATGCCTTTCTATACTATGACTTTTTTTGATGTTTTATGCCTTACTATACTATGACTTTTTTTGATGATTTTATGCCTTACCAAACAATGACTTTTTATGCCTTACTATACTGTGATGTTTTATGATATTTTATGCCTTACTATACTATGATGTTTTTATGACTTTTTATGCGTTACTATACTATGACGTTTTTATGACATTTTATGCCTTACTATACTATGACTTTTTTTGATGTTTTTATGCCTTACTATACTATGACTGTTTTTGGTATTTTTATGCCTTACTATACTATGACTTTTTTGATGTTTTTATGCCTTATATACTATTACGTTTTTTGGTGTTTTTATGCCTTACTATACTATGATGTTTTATGATATTTTATGCCTTACTATACTATGACTTTTTTTGATGTTTTTATGCCTTACTATACTATGACTGTTTTTGGTGTTTTTATGCCTTACTATACTATGACTTTTTATGCTTTGTTATACTATGACGTATTTTGACATTTTGATGCCTTACTATACTATAGCGTTTTTATGACATTTAATGCCTGGTAAACAATGTTTGCCACGTGCTCTCTTCCACTGTTATGCCAAATTGGCACACTGAAGAGATCATGTGGGCAAAGGGGGAATATGTACTGCCATAAATTCATCACGGTACACATGTGGGTTTTCAACGTTCACACAAGATTTTGTTAAGGTCAGGACAGTTACGTTCACAGGAAAGCCACTGTAAGATCATCCCAGAACCCTACGACGACACAGGTCCCTCAGCTCAACTCCCACATACACTAGCTAAAGCCCAAGACAAAGCAAAGTCACCAAAGTGCGCTGAGGATTCTCCAGTAGCGAAGGTGGATTGCTACTCCTAAAAGGTGACCAAGAAGAGTGAGGGGTGAAACGGCGCCCTCCTCCAACAGTAGCGTGCCAAGCTCCAACAAGTGACGTGCAAACAGTGAGTTTATGTCACCACCGTGGGATCATCTAATGGCCTCTCTTACCAGAATGGAGCCTTTGCTTCGCTTGATCCTGACGATAATCCTGACCTGTATCCCACAACGAACTGGATTCTCCCTTGCCATGATGATGACAAACTAGATATTGTCACTGTAATTATATAACATGTATTCATATTCATACTTGCACTAATCACAGGAAGTTCTATTTCCTCAAAAACAGCACTTCTAAATGTCATTTTATGAAGGTTTTAATTCAAAACACTGAAGGTTAAAGCTGGATGCCGACTGACATAGATTGTATACACTTGAATACATTTAAGGTAATACTGGAGGCATCAATGTGAATGTTAAAGTTCTGCTGTCACTGTAATAAAATGTTGCTGTAATGTGGCCATTTGATCGCTGAAGGGGGAATTGTAAGAAAATTTTTTATCATCAAGCTGTCCACTGATGCACTGTAATTTTCCACTACTTCTACTATATGAGAACCTGAATTTGAATAATGTACTCAGTACTTCTTTGAATTTTGAATTTACATATCATGTATGCTTATATGACGGGTCTGATGAAAACCAACATAAACCAGTTTTCAAGGAACTGAAAATGGGAACAAAGATATCAGTTGTCTACGAACTGAAAATGTGAACAAGCATATCCATCTTTAACTCATCACAATAGATGACATCACTCAAACCCTCTCATGGTGTGATTTGCTATAAAAGATCATGAAAAATTATGTTCAGGGTCAGACCTCTTTATCACCCCTATGGTGCAAGAGCTCTGTCCTTTAAGCTGAAATAAGATTGTCTCTGCAAACTGTATTTGTTACTTCTGAATAAAATGAAAAGAAATCTGTTTCACCAGTTCATTCCTTCACTTCTCCAAATCCACAAATTTCCACCACACTGTACAATGAAGTTTTTATGACTTTATAAATAATTTCATTTTTTAATGACATTCCTTACTATACTGTGATGTTTTTTGACGTTTTTATGCATTACAATACTGTCACATTTTTATGACAATTTATGCCACACTATACAAGGCTGTTTTTATGCCTTACTATAGTATGATGTTTTTATACAATGACATTTTTATGCCTTGCATTACTATGACATTTACATACATTTATGCCTCATGACATTTTTGTGACAAGTTAAGCCTTTTTATACTATGGTGTTTTTATTACATTTTATGCCTTACTATAATATGACGTTTTTTGATGTTTCTATACCTTACTATACCCTGACGTTTTCATGACATTTTGTGCCTTACTATACAATGACATTTTCTAAGGTTTTGATGCCTTACTATGTTATGACGTTTTTTGAAGTTTTAATGCATTATTTTTATGACATGTTGTGCCTTATTATACTATTACATTTTTATGCCTTACTATACTATAACATTTTTATGACATTTTAGGCCTTACTATACTAAGACGTTTTTATGCCTTACTGTACTATGACTTTTCTATGCCTTACTATACTATGACTTTTTTATGACTTATTATACTGTGACTTTTTATGACTTACTATAATGACATTTTTATGCCTTACTATGCAGTGACGTTTTTATGCCTTACTTATACTATGACTTTTTTATGACTTATTATACTGTGACTTTTTGTGCCTTCCTATACTATGATGTTTTTATGACTTTTTATGCGTTACTATACTATGACTTTTCTATGCCTTACTATTATGACTTTTTATGCGTTACTATACTATGACTTTTCTATGCCTTACTATTATGACTTTTTATGCGTTACTATACTATGACTTTTCTATGCCTTACTATTATGACTTTTTATGCGTTACTATACTATGACTTTTCTATGCCTTACTATTATGACTTTTTATGCGTTACTATACTATGACTTTTCTATGCCTTACTATTATGACTTTTTATGCGTTACTATACTATGACTTTTCTATGCCTTACTATTATGACTTTTTATGCGTTACTATACTATGACTTTTCTATGCCTTACTATTATGACTTTTTATGCGTTACTATACTATGACTTTTTATGCCTTACTATACTATGACGTTTTATGATATTTTATGCCTTACTATACTATGACTTTTTATGACTTTTTATGCCTTTCTATACTATAACCTTTTTTGAGGTTTTTATGCCTTACTATACTATGACTTTTAATGCCTTACTATACTATGCTGTTTTTATGACTTTTTATGCCTTATATACTATTACGTTTTTTGATGTTTTTATGCCTTACTATAGTACGACTTTTTATGCCTTACTTCACTATGACATTTTTATGACTTTTTATGCCTTACTATACTATGATGTTCTTTGATGTTTTTA